TGAAAAAATGGGAAGTACCAGATTTATTCTACCAAGCATGATTCTGCAAGCTGAGGAAAACAAGTATACAGCCATGTTTTAGTGCTAGGCTGTAAATTCAAGGAAAGTCAAAACTTCTTTTTTCTCTTCAAGCAGCATGCTTTTATATGCAAATACTGAATTTGAGGTGATGATTTGACATAAAAAATACACCATACAAATGTTGGAGGTTAGATAGACTGCAGGAGCTGATCAGCAGTGTCACTGTGAATGGGCTGTGGCTCGAGACCTCAGGTGGTGTTAATTCTGTTCCCACTGCTGCTCTGCATCGATCTGCCTGCTCTACATCTGCACTGTCCTGCACTCCAGTTGCTCCCTGGCTAATACCACTCCCAGGGAGCACCAGGGCTGTGGATTCTCTTCAGGAGTGGTAGGACAGTAAATAGAGGGGTAATTGAGCACTGTGTCAGGCAGAGGACGAAGAGTCAGCTCCTGGATTGTGCTATACCTTTTACAGGGGCAGAAGTCACACAGGAGAAAAAAAAAAAAAAAAAAAGGGTCTCTATCTCTACCTGTATCCCCTTAAAGCCCAACATATTCACTCAGGAGTTTCAACTGAACCATATTAGTCACTACTGTGACATTTGTTTCATCACTGTCATTAAAATTTCATATGCTATCATTACATGAGCATTTACAATTCCCCATGGAAAAATTATAACAATGGGAAAAGCTTCTGTTTAAGTATCCCAGCTTTAAATGTAGCTTTCCATGGCTTGCTACCTCTAAAAGCTACTGCAAAAATCCTTTTCAGTCATGGAGTGAGCAGGACTATTTATTTTGTCTTTGATATTGGGCATAAGTACATGTCAAAACATAGGAGGGATTTTAATGGCATTGAACTGTCTTCATTGTTATCTCTTCATCACCACATCATAGCAAAAATTTGAATAAATTCTGCAAACTGCAATAATTTTGGAAGCTAAAAGCTGGAAGGATGAGATAATTTCTCATCCTTTTAATTCTGCCTGACCTGCAAGAGTGAAGAAGGAGAGCTTTTGTGTAAGAAGACCTCTTGCATTTGGGCCTTTAAAGGAATGCAAATTGTGAAGCTATTTCTGTTTCCTGGATGTTCAAAATTCCCTGAGGTTCCACACCACAAACAGAAGAAAACTCTAGAAAAGACAGAACTAAAGTGATTTTGTATGCACATAACAAATATATCCAATAAAAATAAAATGTTTGACAGGAAAAATAATGACATGGTGAATAAGGTAGAGATGTGGTCTCCAGTTTACTGGATTCCAGTTCCTTTGTCCTAAACTGTTTTACCTAGAGTATTTTAACTAACACTCCACTGCTCCTTTTTGAAATGCAGCCCTGAGTTAGAAAAATTGTTACAGATTAAAGGTGGGATTATCCCATTTCAAGTTTAGAAGAGAAACCCGCAGAATTTTGTCCATCCCTCTGCTTGTGGTAGGGTGACTGAACCAGCTGGATACAGCCTGCCACGCCCAGGAACAGCTTCAATTAATCACTTGCTTTGCAGGTGGGCTCCCTTGAGCAAGCAATGCTGGATGCGCTGGTATTGGACAGAGTGGATTTTGTGAAATTACTCATAGAAAATGGAGTAAGCATGCATCGTTTTCTCACCATCTCCCGGCTAGAGGAATTGTACAATACGGTAGGGCCAGCCTAAGGCAAATTTTCTGTCTCTATATTCACTGTTCTAGCTCCCACTTGTATTGTAATGGCATGATGATGATGATGATGCACCAGGCAGTCAGCACCTGCTGGAGAAATTTTTCATTAGCCCATATTGTCTCTCTTGCTTGTCTCTCATATAATGTAACATGCTGTGCCTTGCCCACATAATCTGCTGTATGGATTTTGTAAAGACACAAAATAAGCCTCACACAGTGCCTGCTAATTTCTTGTCATTATAATTCCAATATGACAAACCTAAGATTTAGGCAGGTGGCACTCGCTGGAAGACAGTAACTGGCAAGTTAGGACCGATACAGTGGTGTTATATGATTCCTTACAATGTGGTTTCAGAAAAATCTTCCAACTCTTAATCAGTCTCTGTCACAATGAAGGGCTTCCCCATGCCCTCACTGAGTTCAAAAAATTAGACCTTTAACTTTTAAAAAACTGTTTGAAAGTTTTCAATCCTTACAATTAAAATGAATATAAAACTGCACAAATTAAGTCTGCTTCTGAATTCTCAAATGCAAAATACATTCCAGCATTCACAGTATTATTACCTACGTAAGCAGTAGTAGTTCAGAAAGTTCAAACATCTTATGTGTAATGAAAAAAAATCTTCAAGGCCTGTCTAGTTCGTAGAATTTCCAGTTTTATGTGTTGCAGAAAGGCTGTGATATAGGCATATCTCTTTTCAAAAAGGTTTTTTCTGCCAGTACTTTTCAAAGCCTTTTCTGTCATAAGCTGCTGCACTGGACTGTTGTCTGGAGGTGTATCACACTGATGGTGACCAGAAGTAGTCAGTCTTTCAAAATATCAGATATAAAAAGGATTCATTAAATTTGGGCAAAATATGGAGGGGCGGGTATATATATATATATATATATGTGTGTGTGTGTGTGTATGTATGTATAGGGTACATATGTGCTACCCTAGAGACAAACTCCCATCTGATCTTTGGTCAGCTCACCTGTTGACTAGCATCTATGTATCAAGAACAGAATGCCTATGAGCTTCCTTGTAACAGGGATAAGCATGGTAGTGTTTGTACCAAAGCCAGTTTTTACAGGGAATAAGTTTGACAGAAGTCTTCAGTTCTACATCTAAAAGAACGGCTTTTTGAAGAAAAAAGCTGTAGAAATCAGTGTACATTTTTTCATGCACAAATTCCAAAAGACCCAGGCTCTGAAATGCCTGAAATACCAATTACACTATATGACCAAATGCATCCATAGTAGCCTTAGCACGAAAAAAAAAAAAATAAACCACGTGGCCATTTAAAAATTACCATATTTCAGCATAAAAGGAATGACCTGTGAAGCTACAACCAGTGAATCTTACCTCTGCTATGGCAAATTTGTAAAAATAGAATGAAGTCTAGAACTACAGGCAAGGGAATCAATTTTTGTCAACAAAGAGTTTACCAAGCTTCTGTAGAAAAGTGTTAAGCCTTAGAAATCTATTACTATTTCTTCAATCAGCATGCAGGAAAATAAGGATGTTGCACGTGGTCCTCTTTTTTTTTATTTTTGCAAAACTTTGACAGTATTTAAAAATTTCAAAGGTTATTCAAAAGAAATGTAGCTGTCATGGCTTAAAAGATCAGGGACAATTTTTGTTTAAAACCTACTTGAATGTTAAAAAACAGGGAGAGGGAATACTTGGTCCATTTTTACCACCGAAGGACATTATGACCAGGGTCATGGAAGATTCTGTCCTGGGACCATAGCTGTTCAGCTTGAATATGTAAGATTTGAAAAATGGCACCTACAGAAGAGACAATAATATTTGCAGGTGTTTTAGAAAATCTGAAGCAGCATATGAAGAATCACAGGTAAGTCTCATGATGCTCAGAGATGGGGTTACATAAAATCAAGTGTTAGGAAGTGCAGAGCAATGCATATATGGAATTATCGAGTCTACACACGTGTAATGGTCTCATTCATCATCAGCTACAACCAAGGAGACCTCTCATAAAAGTCTCTTAAAATATCAGCAACAGTTAAAGCAGAAAATAAAGTAGCATATGGTAGTAGTAATAGTAGTAGTAGTAGTAGTAGTAGCAGCAGCAGTAGTAGTAGTAGTAGCAGTAGTAGTAGTAGTATAATCAAAATGGTGAGACTTCTCTGCAAAATATTTTTGCAATGATAGCTGGAGTCAAAAGAAGATTGGCAAAATTCACAGGCCATGCATTCTGCATTCACATGCATGTGCATTCACAGAGAGTGGCTTTCAGATGAGACTGCCTCAGTGCAGTGCCAGGCTCGGAGAGTCTCTAAGCCACCAGTGATGGAAGTCCTGAGTGCAGGAAGGCTAAGACTAAAGCAGCTGATTTTGCTTCCACTCCTTCCCATAGGCTGTTCTGTACTCCTGTTTTCTCTAAGCCAGGAGCCTAACCCTATACACAGGACTTCAGTTTTTGTCCAATGTGGCAGTTCATAAGGTTTTCTTATGGAAGAGTTTTCTACAAAAGAGGAAAACAGATGAAATAATGCTCATGTAATTGTTTGGGGCTTTTTTTAATTGATAACACTGTACAATTGAAGTGCTCTCAGCTGCCTGATTTCTAAACTACCAAGGTGAGAAAGTTATCTCAACATTTATATTTTGTGCAAACTATTTTGTTCTTCTTCCTTTGTTCTTTGCAGAGACACGGACCATCCAACACTCTGCATCATCTAGTCAGGGACGTGAAAAAGGTAAGAGTCTAATAGACGGTAGGTTGAAAATAATGTTACTTGTTTTTTGTAGATAGATAAAATCTCTGTTTTGCATGAGCTTTCAGTAAGAGCTTTCTCCCTCTTGCCAGTACAGAATGTCCTGTTTGTGCGCTCCAAATATGAACTTTTTGCATACAAAGCACAATTAGCAAGTTTTTTGGCTTGCTTTCTCTGTGGTTTTAGACGCTTGAGTAATAGTGTGTCTGCTGCCATAATTGTAGGCTTTTACATACTGTGTGGATTTATTCTGTTACTTGTATTTTTCCATACCTGCAACTGTTGTCAAAGCTATTTTCTGTGTTTCTAGTTTACTTCCAAGCCTGTAAAATAGCTGTCACCCTTTTGCTGGATCCTGGCTTTTTGAAACAGTTCCTCATTCTGTATTGTGTGGTGCATTATAGCCACCTTCCTCAGCAGAAATATAAAAATGAGTAGTTCAAATTCCCCCTGACCCTTATCATGTTAATTTCAAGAATCTTGAATTATAAAAATCTGTTAGAAGAGCTGGACAGAAATACTGAAAGGTATAGTGGCAGGAAGGAGATACCAAATACCTTTACCAAATGTGCTCAGGATGAAAAGTTACAGTGACTGCAAGGAATAAAAATCCCTTATCTTTTAAATATATGGATCAAGTAAGGAGATTGAGCCTGCAAATGACCTCATCAGCTTGAGTATTCTCCCAAAGCAAGTGCGGATTACAACCTTGCACTTTTTGCAAGTCAGACCTCAAGGGTAGCATGCTTGAGAAAGGATATTTCTGTAAGTGGGACTAGATAGAAAATTTTTAAAGGATAGGATCTTTTTTCCTAAGATCACAGGTTTTAGGGGTTTCTTCTGACAGTGACAGAATCAAAGTCACCTAAAGGGGAGTAGTATTGTGTCATATAGCATCCTTTTATTAAGAAATTCTACATAATAATAAGTAACATGTTAAGAAGGTTCTGGTGGTATTCTTTGGTTGGTGTGTTAAATGGCATCATCATTGTCCAATTATGTATACTGTATTAAGTGACCATTGAAAATGTGAAATGCCTACAAAAAGAAACTATGCACAAATCCCCTTGGATTGAGCAGAGTGAAGCTAGAATCTATTTAGAATGGATACTGCTCTTGAAGCTGAAGTTCCAGAATATTTTATTGCTCAATATGCAATTATTTATGTGCCTTTAAGAATTTGAAAGAGGCATAATCTGTCTTCTACTTTTTTTTTCCAAATGCCTTCTCTCCCCCAGAATCACCCTTCCAAGTCCTTCTTCAAAGGCATAGCAAATTGTATGTTGAGTAACTAAATAATATGTATGTCTTTTTGCTGAGCCCCTAACTAAATATGTATTTTTAAAGAAAGTCTTGAAAGAAAAGGCATCAAAATAGTCAAAGATAATCTTTACTCATGGATGTATATGGACAGGCACTAAACAAACTTACACTACATTTGATGACACTGTTTGTTCCACAGTGACTTCTAACTACTAGGTGATGGTTATCTTTCCATAAATTTATTTTTCTTTCCTCTGTTGTTATCTAAAATCTTCAGTAATACCAACTACATTGAATCAGTCTCATGAGCATAGGTGAGGGATTTGCAAACAGACAGCCTGGTGCAGCTTCTAGTTAGCACCTTTCTGAAGAAAACTGGGCCTCTGGGGCTCTATTTCTCATTTTGTCCAGGATGAGGAACAGCCAGGCTTCATAAGGAGAAGCGACAGTTTCACTATAGCCCTGACAACCGAGCAGGTCCCTTACCAATCAACCAAGCCATAAATCAGTCCACAGATCTGACAACAGTTTGAATGAAAACACCTCCTTGGAAAAACTTCTGAATGGACACATCACCATTTGACTGTTCAATGGCCCATCATGCATGCAAGACACTGCTGATTGTAGTTTTTTGAGTTCATGTATATTTTTATGCCCTTCACCTAACCTCTCGGATTTAATTACAGCATCACAGAATACAAATATTGAAGTATGTATTACACCACTTGGAGACAATACCTAATTTATATGAAATACACTGTGCATTTACATGTACCTCTCAATTTTAAAACCTGCACTATTTAAAAAGGTGTATGCTAAAAAAAACTGCATCTTGATCATTGTGGATTCTCAGATAGAAAATTGATGTTTAAAAATCATAGAAGAAGTAATTTACTACTGTTGTACTATATAGCTGTATAAATCAGTAGGAGAGTGTTTTGTTTTCTTTTTTCTTTTCTTTTCTTTTCTTTGAAAAACAATCTTTGCCTTAATAAAGCAAATAATGAGAACAACAGAAGTCACATTATCAGATTCCGTTCGTGGCAGCCTATAGACATGCACGTGCACACAAACATATAATACAACAATATATTTTCCCTCTGGATTTTCAGATACTGCTGTGAAGACTGATAGCCTAAGCAGCATATTGTAAAGGTCTGGAGACACAATCTTAAAGAATTTACAGTAATCTAAATGTGCATATATTTTGCATGTATTAACAAGAAAAATTATGTCATTATGATTCTGGCTCAGATCACCTTTCAGTCCTCTCAATTCCATAGCTACATAGCGGGACCAATCTGCCTGCAGTTTTGCTATCTCCTGTCAAGGGTCCAGGATTTCACATTTAAGTTTCACTTCCTTCCATAGACCATACAGAGCAATGTACCCAGGCTAAGCAGAAAGAATCAGACAGTGGCTGTGCTGGACACTCTGTCTGCAAGTGGAGGTTGCCCTCTATAAATGTAAAAAATAAAAATCCTTCCCTGCCTCAACTAGCTGATGAAGATAGTGGAATGTAGAAATTAACAGATAGATTTTTTTTTTCCTTTACCCAAAACATTTTATATAATTAACAGATATTCAATTCCACTTCAGGATTATGTACATTTCTGTAGTTGGGGGTTTTTTTAACTGCTACTGTACATCTGGATTTCCAAAGAACAAACTAGCAATATATAGAATTTTGGTATTATAGGATTATTTTTTCCTCAGCCTGAAACTCAGAGGTTTGGTACATGGTGACACAAAAATGCACTCAAAGTGAAAAAAGTACTGCAACTGACTAGCTACAGTTTAAACTTGAAATTTCTTCAGGAGAACAATTGTGCATTAACACTGAAGAGTTTGTCCCAGCATTAAAGTATTTGTTGATTATTAACCAGGACAACTATCTTACCTCAAAATCAAACTTTCTCCTTGGTCATTCTTGACCACCTAGACTGCACTAGAATTAGTTCATCCAAATTCTTCTTGTTCTTGGTGTGGTTCTGTCCCACTTGCACCACTGTGTTTCATTTACAAGCATTCTTAGCTCTGCCAGGGTGGTTCAGCTCTCTGCTGACAGAGCAAATGCTTTGGCATGTGTGTAACTCCTCTCACAAGGATGGTCCAGTCTTCTTTACTAGGGCTTTGTACTTTGGAAAAGTAACGTTTGTGAAATCTGTGGTTTTCCTGTGGATTTGGGAGTTTTCTTTAGTGAAGTGTTTCAGTATTATCTGAGAGGTTTAGATGCATCTTTTATCAAAGTTATTTACTGGAAATTTTTTGTCTAAATCTTTCATGAAAATTTAGAAATCAGAACTGTATCAAGAAAGTCAGCTTTGTAACACATGTAGCGCCCTGATGCCTGTTTTTCTTTCTTAACCTCTCAAACTTAATAATATTAAAGCAGTCCGTTTGAGTGAAGACCTCAAGTTAGAAGGAGTCCTGCCTTGGAGCTGAAACTCCCACTTCTGCTAATGCTTTCTTCCTTGTTCTAGTAGAATTATCATCTTACATATTCTGGAGAGAGAATAACATTTTAAGGGGAAAACCAACCAAACCTAGCAGAATTTACTTTTTAAATTTAATTTTTTAGCTTTATTTTTCATTTAATTTTTAGACTTTTTTTAAACTGTTCAGCATAAATGTTACCATGCCCAAATTATCTAAGCTAATACACATTCTTGCAAACCATAGTAGTTCCCCCACCCATCAAATTAGACAAGATTAGGAAGGTTGCAAAAGGATATGCTAGAGGACATTGCTTAAAAATGGTTGGCAGCTCAACTTCTTCCTCTAAATTTGCTTGATTTTTTGTCCCTTTGAATGCCAGCCTATCGTTGAACATGATACGTGATGAAAGCACAACCTCCCTCTCTCCTTCCTCAGCGTTTTCAGCATGCTGCTTGTACCATGGTAGCAGGGCAGGAAATAAGTCTTGCTCTTCATGGCTGAAGTACAAGAGGAAGGAGGATCTTTGCATCCATTTTTTCTCTTTTGCAGATCCAGTTGCCATCTGCCCTCCATTAGTGATTCTCTGCTTAATCTAGTAAGGACATCTCCAGAAAAGCCAGGCAGATATCTCCAGATATGCAGATATTTCAAGAAAGACATGATAGTCATGAAATTGCTCCATATGTATTACTAACTTTCTTCTAATGAACAGATAAAAAAAGCTACAGGCTCACTGTAATCTGTACTGTGTATCATTATAGAACATTAGATTATTACAGTGCACTGAAAAATTTTGAAGCTAAGGGTTACAATTTCTTGTCCTTCTGCAATAGTGACTATATGAGACAATTTTTCATTAGAGTAATATTCCTTTTTTTCAAGGCTACTGTAAACAGTACAGAGAAGTATAATTTGTCTCTCCACCCTTATTTTGTAGTCATTTCTTTTGCACAGTGACACACAAAACAGAGAGGGTTTTCTAAATCTGGAGGGATTCTTAGTGAGGTCTCTAGAGCCAGGTGATCTATTCACACTTTGCTGAATCATGCCTTCTTTTCTGGTAGGGAATGCTTACAAAAACATGAACTGTCATCCAGTCAACTCAGAAGCAAAGAGTTAGAGAAGGAAGAAAACTTTCATTTGGGTTCATTCCCTTCCCATTAGTTCTTTCCTTCTGTAAAGGGGTCAGAGTTTACCTTGTGTAGTTTTTCTGGAGGGAATAGAAGAGCAGCCCACACTGGGGTTTTGTTCCTCTGTTGCCAGAGACCCCAGAGAGACTTGAGTGGCACATCTGTGAGTGCAGCTCAGCCTGAAATTGTTCAGCACACAGAATGTCCCACTGGGTTTGCTGCAACTAGAGAAGAGAAATGCACCATTAACTCAGAAAATGCATATGCAGTGAGAGACAATCTGTTACTGAAATATTTTTTCATAGTTTTGCAACCCCGAAGCATTGGAGAACTAACTCATAGCCTTAGTGATGCCATTTTCAGATTTGAAAGTGAAGAGTAGGAAAATGTGTGCCAGGGAGTTCCCATAAAAAGGACAGTAAAATGTGGATATATTTGTCATTCTGTTTCCTTTCAAGTTAAAAAGTACTTGCTGAAGACATGATATACATATACATACACACAGGCATATACGTATAAATAGGCATACATATATACGCGTACATACATGTATCTATTTAGATATAAATATATAGAAATATCTAACAGAGGGTAAGAAAAGAAAAGAAATGAAAGGAGAAGTATGTATGCATCTTTTCCGGGATCCTTCTAAAGACCCTTGCCACAAACTCAGTTCATTTCTTGTGAGAAAATCTCCATGGCTCTGCTGGAAATAATTTAACTAGATAATGTGTTTAAAGGGGCTTTTTAGTAAAAATGTAAGGAATTCAGGTAGGGAATATGTAGAGAAATTGCTAAGCCTGTAGTTTTCTTCATAAAAAACCCCCAAAATAATTAGCCACAGATATTTTGTTTATTACAGCTTTCATACATGCAGATGCTTTCCTCATTCTTGGTGTGAAACTTAAGGGTGTGTATTCTTTGAACATAACTCCAAGACTGAATGCTGATAGATTCTCCTTGCCCCTAGCAAGTAGGTATAATGATACCTCATGTACTGTGTAAGTCCTGTAGAATTCTAACACCAATCTTACCTACTGCCCATCCTTTCCTGGAATATGGGAAGAAAACACTGCAGGATGGGAAGGAGCTGGTCCCATGTGAACAAAAGATTTTGTGTGATGTCACTTCATCATGCTCTGAAAGTTAGATGAGGCAGTCCAGTGAGATGCCAGCAGACATGTGAGATGCCAGGATGAGTTGTGGGTGAGATCTGGTGCAGGAAAAGTGCTGTCTTGTAGAATTAGAGTCCAGCAATTGTGCCTGACTGTTCAAGTGTATCGATCCTCATGCTTTTGTTTCTGCAGTCATGTTCCGTGTTTCCCCAGCTGAAGAATATGAGTACTGTGTACTGACATTATCTTCTGTTACTTCCAACAAGTTCTTCACCTTCTTATTTAACTTATGTCTTCTTTCCAAGCGAGAATATCCAGGTTTCGGTTGGATCTATTTTAAGGTGAATTAATTAACCAGCATAATAATACATTCCTGCTTTTACCTATTTAATTTGTTTTATTCTAACATCGTTTTAAAGTACATTTAACAGTGTCACTAATAAGCATTTCTTCTCCCACCATCCTTATTTTCACTGCAGGGAAACTTACCTCCTGATTACCGGATAAGTTTGATTGATATTGGATTGGTGATAGAGTATCTGATGGGAGGAGCGTATCGCTGCAATTACACCCGAAAGCGGTTCAGAACACTGTACCACAATTTGTTCGGGCCCAAGAGGGTAAGAAACAAATTGTTTGCTGTCCTCATGACTGTACTAAATGGCAGGGATTGCCATGGTTCCAGACTGGTGGGGTCCAGATTCATTTCCATTATGTGCATTGCAGTTATCTCACCATAATGCATTGCAAGCCAATCACTGATACAAGCTATGCTTTTTATTAATTTAATGAAAAAATTATTGCATTCTGCTGCCTTGCTGAAACCAGCACATAAAACTGTCTCCCCTGACTCTAAAACTTGTAATTATGCATAATCACAGCTTTTAAAAGACAAGTCTTTTGCCCTGCACCAATAACACTGTAATTCTAACTCCTGAATTCGATTTGAAAACTTCTGCATTGTTAGATGCATTTCCTGTCCTGTGGCTTATCTTCTGATTGTGATCTGAAGCTTTCATGGCAAAGAAATCCATAACTCAAAACATGTTTTATTTTTTGGGTGTGGCTTCAGCAGTCAGTTCATGGCAACACCACTAAGTATTTTTGTGCGTTCCGTGTTTGATAAGTTACGCCACTGTGAGTACAAAGCAAAGTCTTTCTAAAACACAAAAGCTGTTTACTGTCATCCATTGACCCAATCCAGCATGAACAGGAGTCTGTTCAGCTACTTGCAGTACGATTTGTAGTTCCTTCTTTGCCTATTTTTGCCTCACATTTCAGATTTTAGCAATACACAGCACTGAAAGTATTAATAAGTGGCTATCCATAGCAACAGCTCTGTGAAATGCTTGCAAACAGCTACCTAAAATGGGTTTATTTGTTTCCATATGCTTTTCCTTATGATTCTTCAGAGTTGGAAAGAAAGACAGTGATTGTAGCTGGTGGGAGAGAATTCCTTCCCAAAGTCACTCCATTGACAAACGCATTTGAGCAGTGATTTCACCAGTACTGAACCAACACACAGAGTGGCTCCACAACAGTCAGTGAAAGTGTTCCAGGGCAGTGGCTAAAATGCTGATGTAGTCCAGAGAAATCCATTCATGCCTTATCAGTGATCCCTATCACTTTCTTGCTAGAACAGCCCCAACTGGTTGTAATTTGTACCTGAATCAAAATATATGTCTTCGGATGTGGTTTTGGTGAAATAATGTCAAACTCAAGTTTAGAATAACTACATATATGTAATAATTTGATTGGTTTGTATGTGTATGTATATGCTATTGCACTGCATTATATTATTATTTTCTATATTTTCATTATTATTATTATCTATATTTTATTGTATATTCTATGTCACTCTACATGCATGTGTACATATATGTATATGTATACACAAATAGCTGTAGGTTTTTATCACTATTCTCTGAGAAATAACAATTTTCTAACTTTTCTTTGGACAGCCAAAAGCTCTGAAGCTGTTGGGAATGGAGGTAGGCAACCTGTGACAAATCTTAATGTCTTTTCCATCCATAGACACAGGACTGAATAGGTCAGCTCACCTGATAAAAGCAAAAGGGTAAAATGGGAAGGAAACTAAAGGGAACGGAAACAACAAATGGATGGAGAAGGAAGGAATAAACATGCAGGATAGGAGTAAAGAAGGGACATTGCTACATTTGTAAGGCAATAAAGGGAGAAAACACAAAAATAAGTATAAGGGAGTCTTCAGCAGGTTAGAAAATGCCCTGAATATGTACTTTCTGGAGGTGGAAAGAGGCAGATGCGTTACAGCAGATGTTACATTTGCAGTGAGCTCTTAGCTTTATTTTAATGGTGGATTTTCCAAAATAGTTCTGGATATTGTGTGGTTGTACTCTCTTTTATTAGTTTCAGAGTGATAGTGTTATTGATTCAGCATGATAGTCCAAGGCTCTGTTCCCCTGTTTACTCTCTTCTTAATTACAGTGCATACACCAATACCTTTTTTATTGTTTACCTATGTTAAATATTTTCTCCAAAAAATGATGAATGGGCTGGCCTGCAGGAAATGTGTTAGGCACTGATTTAAATGAATTGTGTGAATTGATTTAGTTCCTTCACTGATGAAAAAATTTCTCTACAATTCCCACAGGATGATGTCCCTTTGCGTCGAGGGAGAAAACCAACAAAGAAAAAAGAAGAAGAAGTTGATATTGATATGGATGATCCTGAGATCAATCACTTTCCCTTCCCATTCCACGAGCTGATGGTGTGGGCTGTGCTGATGAAACGTCAGAAGATGGCCCTTTTCTTTTGGCAACATGGGGAAGAGGCTATGGCTAAAGCTCTGGTGGCCTGCAAACTCTGCAAAGCCATGGCCCACGAAGCATCAGAAAATGACATGGTGGATGACATATCCCAAGAGCTGAACCATAATTCCAGGTGAATTTGCTTTCATGTGCACTTTCCTGAGGGGAAAAAAAAAAAAAAAAAAAAAAAAAAAGGAGGGAAGAGAGATTTTTGAACCTGACTAAAATTTTCTTATTTGTAGCTTGCTTTCATTTCTAACTTGTCGGGGAAGTGCAGTCCCTTTAGAGAAAATCCAAATGGGTTTTAAACAGTCTGTCTGCCAGAATAGCAAAGTTGTTAGCAATTTAACTTCTGAAATGAAAAGAGATCAAGAAGACAGTGAAATATCTATATTGTTCATGTGTTCTCCCTGAGGCTTCAAGAGTCAGACTGCAACATTTCTCTGTGCTTTTTCAGGGTACTCTGTACCTACCCAGCAGAAGAGTTACTGAAATCCTTATGAGCAAGGTATTCAGGCAGCAGTGTTAATTTACCAAGAGGTCATGCTTAGATAAGCAAGGCAAGGTACGATAGTTCATAAGAATTTTTCCTGATGTTAAAATTTCAGAAATTTAGGATTTGAGAGGGGATATTGGACACTACTTCCAGGAGGCTTGACCGTGAAGCTTTGGGCTAACAGCAGAGAAGCAATCCCTTAAGCTGCAGATAACCAGAGGATTTCAGTCAGAAAATGTCAGGGAGGTGGGCAGGGAGGTGGGAGCAGACAGCTGGTAGGTGTGGGTGCTGATCACTGCTAAGCTGGGGCACTTATTTGTATGCCTAACATTAGCCACTCACATTTGAAAATGTGGGTTTCGTGTGTAGAGTCAGCATCACGATTTGTGTGCTGGAAGGCGACGTGCCCCTTGCAGAGGCTGGCAGCTGCAGAGAGGAGTTCTGAGCGCCGGGCTGCGCGTGCTAACAGGACTGAACGATGTCCCTCTGTTGCAGGGACTTCGGCCAGCTGGCGGTCGAGCTCTTGGACCAGTCATACAAGCAGGACGAGCAGCTGGCAATGAAGCTGCTGACCTATGAGCTGAAGAACTGGAGCAACGCCACGTGCCTGCAGCTTGCAGTGGCAGCCAAGCACAGGGACTTCATCGCTCACACTTGCAGCCAGATGCTGCTCACTGACATGTGGATGGGTCGTCTCCGGATGCGAAAAAATTCTGGCCTAAAGGTCATTCCTGCTTTAAAATGAAATTAACATTCAGAGGATTCTAATAGATGGTGACAGGGTTCACAAAAATCAGTAATAACTGTCTAAAGTAACTGTATTTCAGATATTTATTTGCAGTGACATTAAGCAGGGTATATTCTTCCTGTGTTCAGTTCTTCAGATGGGGCTTATCATAAGCCTAAGTTCAAAGCACACAGCTTAGATTTTTTCTTTTCCTTTCTTAAAGTCCCCTCTGGCATCATTTATCAGAATAAGAATTGAGCTAGGAGGTTAGTGTATCACCCTGCTGGTATACTTGAGGAGTTAGTCCAGAGTTTTAAAGACAAATAAAGGAAAGAGAAGTGTAAGTGAATTAACCATTAGTGAAAGGTGCTGATCTGACAACTTTTCCCAGAATAAGCAAAGTAAGCAGCACAAATTTCCTTGCAAACCCTTGCAAATCTTCCTGATGGCATCTGAAGGAACTTCTTTAGAGGGTTTAAAGGATAATTCAGTTTCCAAAGCTGTTACAGCTTTACTTCCACAGTTGACAAAACTGCTAACAGTGCAAAGTGAATTCTGAGATGAATTTGAGTCCCTGGCCTGTTTCACCAAAGCAAAACATAGTCACCAGTCAAAACATACCCAGCAATTGCCTCTCCCTCCCAGAGAGGGAAATATTTTCAGTGAAGGGATTCTCTCTTCTGCACTAATTGCCTGTGTGAAAATTGGTAATTACTCAGCTGTGTTGCCATGTGAAATGTTCAGTAATGGCAAGAATGCTTAGGAGTACATGCATTGCTTCTAGACTGGCTCTTAATCTAGTGACAGTGATGAATGAGAATAAGTGGCTGGTAGCATTCCTGTGCAGGACCTGTGCATACATGTTGTTCTGCTACAGATAGAAAACTTTCTCATATTAGGAGACATTCCTACTACCTATTTCCTGAACTCGCAGGCCTATTATCCTTCAAAGAGACAGCTGCCATGTTCACTGTTTAGCTTTGCAGAAATTCAGTCTAGGTACATGGAGGACAGCACAGCAAGCAACTGATTTCCTACTACATGCATTCCACTTTTTAGCACATTTCTTAAGCCCTAAAATAGACCTTTCTTTCACAATGCATAACTGAAGGTAACAGGCTCTGTTTCCTTTCAGCTTCTTCTAACACCAGGGCTTCACAAGGATCCTTTACTCAGTTTCTAGTCTGTATTTTATTTCATTGAAGCTCATTAGCAGAACTTGTTTAAAGCTAGAGCAGGCTACAAGCTACATGAGGCAGCATGACAAAGAAATAAATTTGCAAGCATGAGTCATGGTTTATTTCACAAGGACTGTTTTTTTCCCTTTGAAACTGGGAAATGGTCAGAAGATTGAACATAATTCTTTAAATTCTTGCTGGGGATGTATGGCACCAATGGAAGGGCTAGGGGCAGCTGTTAATCCTACCTGCTCTTAAAAATAGCCTTTCTGTGAAGCCAGGTCTGTGTGTAACCACCTCACCCTGGACCCATCATTTTGTGAACAGAACACCAGTACAGGAAGCTTTTCCAAGACTGGGTACAGCATTTGCATACACTACCTGCTCCTCATTGTGTACTTTGAATGGTTTCAGCAGCACACAAACTGTCTGCTGATATGATTAGCACAAGCACCCTCACTAATCTGCCAAGAAGTTAACTGTCTGGTTTCACTCTCATTCAGGAAGAGATTTATCAGAATATCATTCCCCATCAAATTGCACCATAACCAGGGAAAGCTATTGTGCTTGTGAATACAGACTTTGCTTTGTATTATTGTGGTGTCTATTCAGTTGTACTGTTTTAATCCAAGCATTGGTCATTACTTACTAATCCCAACAGGGAAATTTCTGCATCTAAGAGAAGGAGGCAGAAAAGAAAGAGAGCTGGCATCAACATGACCATTACACAGCTGCCTGGTTACTGAAACAAAATCTAAGGGAAATGCATATCTATGCACATCAGCATTTTCTTTTGCTGGCTTATCCTTATCTCCTCAGATCCACACATAGTTGCACTTCTTTGACTGCCAGTGTACATTAAGCATGGACACAAAGAGCTATTAACCCTCTCTGTAGAAATAAATACTCTCTGTGTGTCATTTAGACTGATATTTTGTATTATGTAAAATGCAGACATTTGCAGGTCTGTACACCCGCATGGTCCCACCTACTCTTGACCCTATATAATATCTTGTAAATATATTCTAGTATGTAGCACTACACACCTGGTGATATGCAAGTAGAAAAAACATTCACAGCAGCACTAGTAGAAGTTACATGCTTTGATTCAGTGCTCTGGTAACATTACCCCCATTGACAAATACTTTATTGTCATAGAAACTCACATGTACATACATGTATGTTTTTTTTCCTAAATCTCCTGAGGGAATTGTTCGGTTTGATGCTAAGTAATCATTATGACCATAGTCTGTTTTCTGTGATGATTATTGTTATCATTATTATTGCTTTAGGTAATTCTAGGAATTCTACTTCCTCCTTCAATCCTCAGCTTGGAGTTCAAGAACAAAGATGATATGCCCTACATGACCCAGGCCAATGAGATACATCTTCAAGAAAAAGATCCAGAGGAACCAGAGAAGCCAGTGAAAGAAAAAGATGAGGAAGACATGGAACTCACTGTAAGTGCTCACAATAAACCATCAGCCTCAGCGCTGTCAATTTGTTATTGCTACCTCTGCAGGCATTGCAGAACATCTGATGGCTAAATATAGCACATGGTAGGATACCAGTCTTCACACTCCCCTCTCCTCCATGGGATTCAAGCCACACAAGTTGCCATCATTTGGCCGTCATGCTGAAGCAGTGCATAGAGATGCTGTGCTGTAATATCCTCATATTTTGACTCAATTTGATGCCATGTTGTCTGAACTAAGTGAATTAGATTTTAGGAGCACTCAGTCATGATAGATGACCTCTCTGGCATGAAAAGGGCTAACCTTTGTTTGGAAATGCCCAAAGATTCATGGAAGCCAGAGATTTTTTTTTCTTTTTGTTGACTTCATTAAAGAGTAAGCAAGTGTGCGAACAGGCCAGAAAAAAAAAGAAAACTTAGTCTAAAATTCTTTTTGTGTTTGTGGTCATTGCCTTTTACACAAACACACATCTAGTCTTGAATCCACTGAAGACACTAGCAAGCAGCAAGACAGCTCCACTTCTACAACACAACAGAATTGTGTAAGGAGAGACTTGTCAGTATTAGAAACATAGCCTTTGAGGGAATAATTTACACCACGAAGAAACAGACAACTAAAGCTCTGGAAACTACACAAGTAATCTTCCTGTCTCTTGTTCATACATTTTAGTTTGGGCAGTTATCATACAGTCTATTACATCTGCCTTAGTCTAGTTTGGTTTGGATTTGTTTGGGTTTGATTGTGGTGTCTTTGAAAGGCTTAAAACTCAGCCCCTGTTGGTCAGGATAGAGGCATAGACGTAAAAGGGATTTGCCTGATTAAGTTAAAAAACAAAAACAAAAAAACCCAGACTGTTTCCCACAGGCAAACAGCAGGAGCTGCCCCCAGGACCCCGAATGCAGGCAGGCAGAAGGACCTGCCTACAGGACCCAATATGCAGGCAAGCCGAAGGACCAGCCCACAAGACCCACCTACAGGACCCGTTTGCAGGCAAGAACCTGGCTGTTGGGGAGGACCAGAAGCCACAATAGCAGCAATGGGGCATTCTCTGCTCATTAGCTATTGATTGCAATTTACTAACCCTTGGCTTCTGATCCCCTTATGAAGTGCCTATTCAAATCAAATAAGCACTTTGAAAGCTGACTTTTACCTGGTAATGAGGAGAAATTTGGGGAAGATGTGTTTTCCATCTTGCTGTAGTTATCCCAGCTCCTGGTTTCTTGTCTACAATACTGTTTCCTTTTTCCCTTGTGACTCCTGCTGCAAATAAGTGATGTATGCAGTGGACCTGCTATTCCAGATGAACCTTAGATGTTCCCTCTCTTCTTCCTTCAGTGTGCTAACAGTCCTATTGCTCTGTTCTGTCATTGACTCTTCCCTTAATTCCTTCAAATTCAGCGTATCACTCCAGTGAAGTTTCAGGCACTTTAAACATTTTCTATAAAATAATATTTCTTCCTGTGGAGACCAGCAAGTTTAGAAACAATATCTTTGGTCAGCACTGCTTTCTTAGTATTTCTGCATATAATCTAGACCGTACTCTAGAACTTCTAATACAGGTGTTTCACTCAGTGATGAGGAGAGATGAATTGGTAGCAGAGAGATTTTTGCATGTCTGTGGTTAGATGCCACAGGCAGTTACATTTAGCTGCCTGACATATTTTAAATATAAGAAAATATTTTAGACTAAAGTTTCATACTGTTGCAGCCTTAGTCACATGATCTGGCATAATGGTCAGGTTTCTTTTCCACTGATCAGAGGATGCATGAAAGATGTTTTGGGAAGTCCCTTTGTGAAGTTTCCCCTTTGCCATGGTATTCTTTAGTGTATTAAGGATACCTTATAAATACTTCAATAAGATTAATAATTTATTGTGCTGGGATATCATAAATGTTTAATCCATTGCTGAACTTTGAATCAATAGATCAGTCACTCACCAAACCTGAGCTTTGTTCAGCATAAAGATTAACAAACAAAAGTGATGTTAAAAAAAAATTTTTATCTCAAAGTTCCTTTTCTGGCAAATAATATATAATTTAAATAATCTTCCTGATTCTCCTTCTAACCATTCCCTGTGAATACTTCTCAGGTCTCTGTATTCATCATGTTACACCCATATTCTCTCTGCTAAAATGAAGATAAAGAGGTCCCATCTAGGCAAGGTCTGTTCATTGATTTTCTGTGTGTCTTGTACTAAGCCCAGGTGGCTAAAGACAGGCAGGGAGTCAGTTTCTTCTTCTGTACTGCACTTTTGCAGAGTGCATGAGGTACAGGGCCACCGTGATCTTTTCCCTATTTTACACCTCATTTGCACAGAACAATGTGATCAGCAGACTACAGCAACAGTGAATTTAAGTCTCCACATGGGTGCATCTGCTTGCAAGTATGTGTTTGCTTTATGCTCCTCTTAAAGGGTCTGGTGGGTAGCTGAACATGTGGATATGCTACGAAGATGTGTTTATTCACTGTACACTACTTGTTATTCACACCTGCTTTTAACTTTATAACACAGTGATAGGCTCACATTTCTTTATCGCCTAGATGCTAAGAAATAGGCTTATAGCAGCTACTCACAAATACACATTTGAATACTGCTCTCATCATTGCTCCTCAGCCCCAAGAAATTTACCACAATTTATGTATGGAGTTGATGGTCATTAATCCTGAATATTAAACAGAGAGCAGTAGGAGGACGTTAAAGTCTAAAGGCCAGGGATATTTTCTATTTGTACAGTGTCCTAATCAAGGCCTTAATTGCTGAAATTCAGGTCAGTCAGAAACTTCAGAAATCTTCCATCCTCACAGAATAACCCTAATTCTGGAAGTCATAACTAGAAGCATCCTTAACCCTAATCAGTACATTATTGTTTGGGCAGTAGAGCTCCCCAGTAAATGTTTTTATTTCAGAACACAGAATAACCCATCTAAGTCCTTTGAAAGGTGTTTCTGTTGTTGTATTTTTCATTTTGCCTCGATTTTCCACAATGAATAGGAAGTTTGGACTTCCAGAGCATCACTGAGTTAGTCTGAGAACTTTTCAGCAGCAGAAGAGCTAGTTCTGTTGGCCTCTGGGATCATATTAATTCATCTGTAGTATGTGTGCTTAGACTTTTCTCAGTTACAAGAAATAACCAGATATTAATCATATCACTAAAAATACAGTTCTTAACACAGAAAAGTCTGATGATCCACGTCCTGTTGCCCCTGGCCCAACTTACCCTTCCCAGTGGAAGACAGCTCTCACAGCATCTCACATGCAAGCAACAAGGCACCCCTGCAGCTCATGTGGTAAACGGAATTGGGAGACATTGCTGGTGGTCTCTAGGCAGAAGTGCTGACCCTTTCCATAAGAAGAGGTTCTCTCTTCCTCCTAGGAGTTTGAAAACCCTCCATGCCACTACCACTACCACACATACGCTCTGGCACAGTCTGTGTTCTTTGCTCTGCTCAGCAGACAGGATTTCTGAGCTCCTGGCACTTTAGTCCTGTTCCCTGTGCTCACTATAACCACCAAGCACATGCAAAATCAGATCTTATGTGTCTGTAAATCAAAGACATTAAAATATTTTTTCTGCCAGTGTTTCACGACAGAGAACAGTAATTCTAGAACAATCCTGCCTTCCATGGGGGCAGCATTTTCACACACAGTGTAGGATCCAGCAGGGTGTGCTGAGGGAGATGTTTCTACACAGCTATGTATCATCTCCAAACCAGTTCTCGGTGAACTGGAGTAAGTCTCTATATAGCATGTAGATTTCACTCAGGATGAAATTGGAAGAGCCTGTATTCATTCCAGAAAAACTGAAATTCTTGTTATTTAATTAGGAAACACATGAACATAGTATAGGATTGTTAACATATATTAATGCAAAAATGTACAACCCAATACTCTCCCCTGATAGTTCATTATCAGCAAACAGTCCTCAATTACATAAAACAAAATCTGACCCAACAATAACAACAAAAACCAGATTAATAAAATCTCTATGTAAAAACTATGAAAACATCAATCCCTTCAGGCTAAAATGATGCCGTTGTACAGTATTTCACAATGAGGGTGAGCTGCTGTCAAGCTTACCTTGCATGACTCATGGTGAATCATGCACAAAATCATGTATTAGAGAAAGAGATGCTGCCCACACAGAGCCGTGTGTTGAGTTGTTCCCACCCTACTGCATCCCACTCCAAGGAAAACATTTGTTCACATTTGGCACTGCAATTATTCTGTTAACACAGTTACATAGGTTATTTCTGAATGTTTCGAATGGGGAAGCTTTTCAATTTGTTAATACTGAGGTATAATTAACAGTTGGGAACATCAGGTCAAATCTAATCCCTAGCCATCTCAGAGAAATTCCCCATTTGTAGCATGGAGGAGGGGAGGAGGTACTATTATATGATGGAATTAATTCAAAAATAATTGTAATGAGACAAAATTACCACATTGTTACCAATAAGAAAGCAGTCACAAACAGAAAATCAGAATTCATAAGCTAAAGCATAAATCCAGATACTGAAAGAGCATTATTATAAAAACATCCACAACTCACTGATTTCATTGAGAATTAAGTCTGTCTCAGAATTTGTAAATTTGTAAAATTGTGAAGGATTTGAACTCTGTAAAATAATCCCTTTCACTAAAGCACGGCATTGTTCGTTTGTTAGAGTAAGCAGCATTCATTTTCATTCTGCTGCAAAATTCCTGAACACCAGGGGACAGCAGAGACAAAGCCTTGGGAAAAGCTACAAAAAACCAGCTCCAGATGGCAGTTTTCCCCAAACAACGTCAGTAAGTAGAGAGAAGCAAACAAATTACAACCTTCTTGGGCTATAGTGTTCCCAAAACATTCAGATCATATTCAATTTTTTTCCCAAAAAAACCTGCAATCAATGATACAGATCAAAGGATCACTTTGATTTTGTGGAGCTCAGGTAATGATATCTTCTGTGGAGGTTGTGTAACTTCTGCTACTGTGGTTATATTCAGCAAGTCTCATAACCATAAAAACCCTTTTCCTCTGCCTAATAGCCACTTTGTCCTTTTCCTTTTTTATAAAAGACTTGATGGACTTTCAAGGTGTTTTATGGGCTCTGTGAGAACCAACAGGAGGTACATTTAAATTTTTAATAGGTAATGTTTTATCTGTATTTATGGAAATCAAATTTAAAATCTTCAGCCATTAAAGCTAAAGGAAATAGGTTAACTTGGTCAAAGCAGGCTTTAGTTTTTGAGACAGTCCCAGCAAGTTAGTTTCAGTGTAATATACTTCTGTCCTGAATCTTTGTTGTGTTTTATTGAAAATGTGCACGACAACATCATTGTCAGATTCAAGAATACAAGGGTATTCTTGAATCTGACAATGGTCAGATTGTCCATTGTCAAGGGACAATGGGTCCACAAGGAAAGTAATAATACTAGAGGAAAAACTAATTGCATAAATGAAATTAAAGAGAAGAAGCCATATGGGACCAAGCCCAGTCCTAATAATGTTACTGAAAAAATTTTTATAATTACAAATTACTATTTCACGGGGAAAAGACCTATATGGTAGCTCCACATGAGGCTGGAAACAGGAAGAAAAGGTTAGATTGTGATTCTTAATTTTAAATATGTGAGAAGTGCATCAGCAGTTCCTGCAGGGCGTTAGAAACTGATCAGTTAGCTCACCTGAAGCCAAATAGTTAAGTATGTGCTGTGCATGCTGTTGAATTGGAGAGCACAGATACAGAGACAAGAAGGACTTTTTATAGAAAGACCATATGTCTGGCATCTAATGGTTTCCTTGGTTTTCTTCCATTTAAGTTGCAGATGAGGACAATGCTGTCTTCATGGATGGTGAAAGTTTGCTTCAGTTAACACAAAAGCACAAGGATGCCTTCATCTACTTGTAGAAAAGCATTATAGAAGCATTGAAACAAATGCATCATTATGCAGTCCCTGCATACTGAGATTTGTCTCAATTCTTGCAAATATTTCCTGTGCAGGGTGCTGCATTCCAGAGGTGCATCCACAAACTAAATAGTAAAACCTTGCAAAGGGCACAGTGAGCTAAAATCCTGTCATAGTCTACTGTTCACTAAATAATTTCTTCAGAATGAACATTTAATAGGTCACATTGCACTTCAAATACAAAGGAACTTCTTCTAAGCACTAACTTCAGTGATTGTAATTTAGTCCTTCCATTCCTCTGCAGCTGATAATGAAAATTAAGGATAAGCAAACAGACTATTACCTTCTTTTGACTGTTGGGTTTGCACTCATAGCTGAGGACTTCTTATGTATGTGTTTCTTGAGCTCAGTGTAGCTTCTCAGTGGGTCTGAATTGCAGTGGTAACTGTGAGATCAAGCCTAGCAAAGGCAATGCATGAGCGGTCTAGAACTTCACTATGGAAGAAGCTACAATCATGTACATGAATATTTCAATGCAAGGCCTTTCTGCTGCAGTGAGCTTTGCTAGTAAGTCCTCTTACATCCATGTAAGCTTCAATGTGGGATCATGGCCTGGGGCAGGACCAGTGATTAACTTACAAAGTGCCACTGTCTTCTTTGCTTCTAGTTCAGTGACTATCAACTCATCTTTCCCCTTGTTGTTCTCTCTCAATCTCAGCTTTATGAATTTCTCTTTGTTTAAAACCAAAATTTACCTGTTTTCTGTCAGCATCTGTTTATTGTATAGAAGTACACCACATAAAGCTGTTGTCAGGTAAAAGTGTTTCTGTCCATACAGCAAAAAGGAAAAATATTCTCCACACTTATTTTTTGTCAGGAAAAGCTGAGGGTTGAGGTTAAGCTGTAGATTTCCATTTTCAAGTATTAAACAGAAGCCTCCCTGCAGAAAGATAATTTGAAAGCAAAGCATTTTATGCCTAGTTATGGTCACTTGGTTTTATCTAGAGATCAAGAACAGTTTCCTAGTGACATTTTAAGAAATTGTGAAATATTTCTCTCACAAGAAAGAAACGTAAATATATCATTTCTTGTAGGCAATGCTTGGACGGGGCAATGGAGAGTCCTCAAGAAAGAAGGAGGATGAGGAAGTTCAGAGCAGGCACAGAATGATCCCCATTGGAAGAAAGATTTATGAGTTCTACAATGCTCCTATCGTGAAGTTTTGGTTTTACACTGTAAGAAATCTTTCCTGTTATATTAATAATGTCTGTACAAATACTGAAATTGGACTAAGGTCATCTTTTGTGTTTCATTGATGTCTACATTTATATGTATTGGAGGACTTACACATAAATAATTTAATAAAAATATTTGGTGGAAGTCTGGTAGCATTGCAAACCTTTCCATGACTTTTAAAGATTACCATTTTGTCCAGGAAGTTAATGGCTAAAATTTGAATGATTGTGTATGTTTTTTTTAAATAAAATGGTAAGGAGCAGTTTGCTGTAGTGCTCCCAAGAAATTCCCTATAGGGAAATTTAAAATAGGATTACTTCCATTAGTAAACTCAGTGGGAGGTTGGTCTGAGTCAGAATATGAATTATCCAATAACTGATAAAAAAAGAGGTAGAGCACTTCTTCCCTTGGAACTGTTTCTTTTCTGTTTTGACCTGTCTGTGGAGTGTCTTTCAGAGAAAATGTGCGTGTAAGTACCCACAAGATATCAAAGACATGATTGACAGCTAATGCACATTTTTCAGGAACAAATTAGGCTAAGTCAGTATATTCCCTGGGTTAGAAAGAAATGAAGCTTCCAGAAGGAGTAGAAAAAAATGATGTCATGTATTTCAACTATGGTAAAACAGTACCAGAAACTTCACAGGGTTTTCTCACAGCTAAATTAATAAAGATATATTAAAGTTACTATGTGGATAAAAAGCTTTTTGACAATTAGTCCTCAAGAGTAGATATTAATTATTCATTAGCAAGCTGGAAGCAGGGATTAAAGTTCTCCTCTACATCAGATGCTATATAATAATTTTATGCAAAACTTGGATGATGGAGTAGAGATTGGTTATTATGTTAGTTATTATTTAGTTATTAGTTATTTTGCAAATTGCAGTAGAATGTAGAAGGATAAGACTAAAAAGATCACAAAAAGTGATCCTTTCAGTCTTCTTAGCTGGAATAGTCCATCCCAGTTCAGCTTCTGCATCATGTGACAAGTGTGGACTGGTTTGAAAGACCCCAAAAAAGAAGAATGTTGCAAGAATTTTGTAAAGCTTGACTTAAGGGGAGAGACTAAGGAAGCGAGAATATTTTCTCTGTAAAAAATAAAAGGTCTGCAGAAGGAATGCAGCAGTTTTTGAATATGTCTAAGTACCTCAAAATCCTTGCTGAACCAGACAGTTCTAGGTAAGAAGTTAGGAAACAGTTTCTAACTTCTCCAAGAAGTACTGTCATGAACTGTGTGAGGACATGCTAGATTTTTATTATTAGTGATTTCTAAAGTATCTTACCAAGACATACATTCATTGTGGTAGGCTGGAATTAATCCTGCCTCATCCCAATGGAACTGGCTAGATGGTTTCAGGTGGTTTTTCCCGGTCATATTTTCCATCACTCTGCTGAAAGCACAGCAAATCACAAAGAATGGATCATTCTGCAAGTGACTTATAAGAAAAATTGCCTTGCAGGTGTTGGGAACAACTCACATCTATTGAGTCTTAACTGTGGTGGACACTGTAGACTAGCAGAGTTTAACAGCTTGGAGTAATTTATTGTTAAACTTGGTGGCCACTGAGCATTAATCAAGCCCACATGTCCAGAAACTACTCATCAGCAGCCTAGTCTCATTATCAATCGTAGTGTGTATTATGCACAAACAGAAAAGTCTTTACACTGCAATAGAAAGAAGCATCCTGTTAGTTCAATTTTTAAATGGGAGAGAGAAATCAATATTGGATTTCCATTTAGGCTTGTTCCTACAGTTTTATGTCCTGAGGCAGGTCTCAATCAAGGTCATTTATTAAAACTGGATCTTGGATACACTGAATCTGGAGAGCAAATTAAGGTGGATTCTGGCTTCCATGTTTGACCTGTTGTGTATATTGAGAATTCCTGGAGACTCAGAGCAAAACAAGTTTCAGAGAAGGATTAAAATTACACAGCCTATCACATTTTGCAAATACACAGGCACAAATATTATTTATTGATTTCAAAATAAATCATTCCAATTTTACATTATGCAGTCCAAAATTCATGTAAAAGATCCTATGGTTATTTTAACAATTTGAATATTCTGCATTTACCTATCTCTATTATTATATAGCTGTATTCACCTTCATTCTTCAGATACACAAGAGCAAGTTAAATAAGATATTTGAATAAGTAACATTTGGCTCAGCAGACACTGGACAAATTTTTCGCAAAAAAAACCAAAAAAACAAAAAAAAAAAACCAAACAAAAAACCCCAAAAACTACACAAACAAACCAACAAACAACTCCCCTGCAACTTTAGCCTTTCTCTTTAGACATGCAGCAATTTAAAAAGTCAACCGCTCTGTTGTGTTTTGTGGCTGTTACATTGGAAACCATGATGCAAGTGTTTCATCCCACAGATTGCTTGAGCAGAAGAGGATCATGTTCTCCTACTTTTGACTACTCCCACTGTCCTAATATCAAAAAACACATGCAGCAGTTTTAAAATAGTATAATAAAAAGTAAAGCTTTATTGGAAACTTCCAGGTATCCTGGCAGTGATGTGCTCACATGGCATTGGATTTCTACAATTTTTATAAGTTTAACCAATTAGCATAACTAACAAATATTGTCCAATTAGATGAGTAGTTCGTTAAGCTATTTTCTCTGGGTACTGTCCCACTGGAGTTGATTTAGGGCTTCTTTGCCCCATTTCATATTGTGTCTCCTTAGATTCTGATTGAAAAACAGAAGCCTGCTTCTTGTCAGACTTCTTTTTCTTAAGAATAAGACTAAACAGTATTTTAGGAATGTGTTAGCAGGTTAACTTACTAGTCTGAAATCTAAGGGAAAGAGTATCAAAAATACTAGGAACTATATAACTATTTAATAGTAGTCTAAAAAGCTACAAATATATGAAAAATACATAAAAAGCAAGATCTTTAGGCATCACTACTACTAGCATTAACTGAGACACTAGCAGAATGTAAGAGTTTATGACCATTTAATTATTGCAATCAATCAGAAAAGAGATGGGTGATCTCCTTCTTGAAGTATTAACCTATTGATACAATTTCCAAGTGTGTCCTCTACCACATTTCTGTAGAATGGGACTACATCCATAAAAGGGCCAGGTGCAATCCACCCTTGAAACTTCTTAGCAGGCACTTCTTTCCCTAGTTTCTTCAAAGGTGGCAATGGCAGCTCCTAGCTATTTGTCAAGTCAGGAAAAAGCAAGAAAAAACAGGGTCCAGCTACTTCTGTAGTAGCAGTTTTAAAGAATCTTGAGTACCAGCACAAACAGCTACACTGAAGTTTGACCGCTGTGTTGGATCAGTGTCACCTCCTGGAAGGTGAGAGCAAGTTAGAAGCATGGGGAGAGAGAAGGGGACTGTCATTCACCCTGTCACTGAAGGGCTAATTTCTTGGATCAAAGTGGAGACATTTCAGTATAAGTTTACTCACAAATCAAGATTCTTTTCTTTTTTGTCAAGTGAAAACATTTTGCAATTTTTACTAAGTTTGAATTGACATAAATAAACACACCAAAACCAAAAAAGCCAACATTTAAAAAGCTTGGAAGAAGCAAAATCCCCTAGTTACCATTAGATTATTGCTGTTTCTTTCACTTTTGTAACCTGTGTCCTCATTCTTTTGCCATGCTGACTACAAGTGCTCACCAAAGGCTGCTGAATCAGATCAAAGTATGTTTCCTGACAATTGGTAATCAATAAGGTCCAAGAAAGTGTTAAGTAACAGTATCACCTGGCTTTTTGTTCTGTATTAGAAGGTTCTATTTCCACTAGGGAGGTGTGTATCCAGTTCTGCCTGCCCAGACAGAGGTTCTCCTGACTCCAGTGTCACCCTTGTGTTGGTTTACATCAACATTGCTCTCCATTTCCTTTAGGAGTGGTAAGGGAAGAGCAGCCTCCAGACCTGCGCATTGCAATCCATCATCCCTCACAAACAGAAAGACAAATGAGATCATTTCCTCCTCTGTTTCATGCAGACAAGTAGTGCTTCAGCTGTCTGCTTCCTTTGTACTGATAGTTATGGCCATTAGAATAAATTCTCTTGAGTGTCCTCAGCCAGCAGCTGGAACAAAAGCCAGAATCCTGTGGCTTTTACAAAGAGTGGAAGTGACATTCTCTAACAAATACAATAGAGCTATAAACTCTGTTCTGTGATGTGCAGAAAACTGAAATAATCCTACCCAAAGGTCTCAAGGCCTTCTGTGGCTGTTTCAGCTTACATGTGAACCAATGTACGCAATAATGAGTAACAAGCAGTTGAGAGATAAAAACTGAATTCAAATATAGACGTATGTATTACAGCTTTCTGTCACAATGACTAAATGTTCATGCACAGAACTGAGTCATCTTTTCTCTGACTTATATTTAGCCTTAAGATGCATTTTCTTATAGGGCTGCTGTTTGAAAGGCAAAGTAGACAGGCGGTTGGATTCTAGCCTCCATGAACCAGAGTGGAATCCTTGCTTTAGCCCATGCTCCAGAATGACACTCAGGTTTCTCTGAACTTTATAAGCTTGATGAGTCACTTTTCCTGACATGTCTTTTTTTTTGACAGACCATTTAATTACATTCAGCATGCAGAAAAACAAAGAAAAAGAAACTAAAAACTAAATTCACACTTTCCTCTGGGTCAAAAATTAACCTGGAAGGTGAATATATTAGGAAGGAAAAGAAAAACATTCACACTTAAAAATTTGCAAAAAATATAAGGCAAATGAGTGCATGGCTATGCCTGGCTTCTTGCTGCAGCAATATGAGTAGGAGTAGCAGTGTTTTGGGAAGGAAACATGCTATAGGTTAGGTCAGTACTGCACCAGGTAAGCAGACCTCTAATAATGCCTAAAATCTGGATTCAGAATGCCAGAGTCAGCCCAGATGAGGTGAATGGGGGAGGGGAAGGGAAAGCGGGGGGGAACAGAAAGAAGGGGGATTAGAGGACTAAAGGCTTTTAGAAGTAGATGAGGGAGAAATCTTCACGTAGCTTACTTAATTGTGTGGTTGATACAGTGGTATCAGGATTGCCTTCACTGTGAGATGATCCAAGATAACTGCATTAATGAAGTCTTTTTTGAGGAGATAGATATAGCTGGACATAGGTGCATGTATTATTTTGCAGATTCCATACAGTATGTGACTTAATGTGAGCTTTCTCAGACAACCCAGGACAGTCTTATTGTTCTTTTGTCAGTGAAACCCTGGTTACAGTAGATTCAGGAATATCAAATCATATCCAAGAATCTAGCTCCGTTGTGTGGACAGTGACAATTTATACTCATTTTTTTTTCTTTACAGCTGGCATACATAGGCTACTTGATGCTGTTCAACTACATTGTGTTGGTGAAGATGGATCGCTGGCCATCTATTCAGGAGTGGATTGTCATCTCATACATTTTCACTCTGGGAATAGAGAAGATGAGAGAGGTAAAGTCTCCCCAGCCAAGAAATAGTAAAAAAGGAATAAGCATGGGATTTGAGGGTTTTTTTTTTTCATTTTAATAACTTTCTTTATTATTTTTCTCAGGGTACGTTTTTATGAATGAGCTTATCATAAAATTGTCTCTTTTTTTAGAAAGCCAGATGGATTGTTAAAAAAAAAAGGCAGGAAAAATCTATCTTTAAAATTAGTAGTTTCTTCTTCTTCTTCCTTTCTTTCTTTTCCCTCTTTCCATCTTTCCTTCTTGTCCCACAAAATTTCTGTATTCAAATTTCAGTGTGATATTCATTTAGTAGCATTCACAAGTATGGGGTAATCTTCTGACAAGCCTTAAAAGTCAGCTAAATTCCTTAAATGTGACTCTTTAAAATTTTTTTGGTATGTCAAGCAATAGTGTGCATCACCCTAAGGATGCAAAAGCAGACACATAGAGCAGAGATAGAGCATTTGAAGTAGCACTTGGTCTATAAAGTGAGTGAAGTGGCTCTGTTAACCCTGCCCCTCACGGTTTCTCCCACCTAATGCTGTCCTCTTTCCCTTAGCCAAAGGTCCATTTATTCCACAGTGACACCAGAGACCCAATTCAGCCCTAATGTGAGTGAATGCGAGTCCCATTGACCTCCACTGAAATAGCACATTTGTACCCCTGGGCTAATCTGTTACCAGTTATGTTTGTACATTCTGAAGCCAGTGCTCTGGAGGACTAGACTAAAAATGGGCTTGCAACACTTAGGCTTCAAAGACAGTTTTCTGACACTGTGTTGTAAATGCTACATTATAAATAAAAAGAACAGAGGAAAAGACACTACTTGAGTGACCCATGAATACACATCATTAAGCAGAAGAGAAAGGAAAGCAGTGGCAGTAGCCACACGAGGACTCTGCAGCACTTCTGGAGCCAAGGCCCTGCTGGCTCAGCAGGTAGGAGGCTGCACTCAGGAGTTCTGTGACCTGGTTTTTCTCTAATCATTCACCCCCGGCTGACATTTCCACAAAAGTCTACCAACCACATTTGTCATAATTGATTTCTAAGCAGAGGCTGGAATCATTCACAGGTGAGCCCAAAATTCATTCCAAAAACAAATTCATCTTTTTTGAGGAATTATGTGAGTTTGTTCAAATGTTCTTGGGCTAAATATATAAAATGAAAACCAACAACTTGTTAACTCACTAAAATGTTGGACTTATTCATGGAAATCACTTGAATAATGGTTCTAAGAGTAGTTTGGGAAAACAATCAAATGATCTTGCAAGGAGAATGACAATAAATTAATAAGGTAAGATTATTTATTTTTGTGACCTTTATCCTTGTCTGTGTAACCTATTTTCCAAAAACAGGCCCAAGTAGTGTCTAGTATCTCTCTGTATTAAATTTCTGATGCAGAGTTTTATGGTTATTAATTATTTCTTGGTCATTTGATACACATTTTTAATGTAACTTTCTGTAAATCTATAGCTTCTTTAAATGTGAATTTTCTGATTGAAAAAGTCTTTCTGTATTTTACCCTCTGTTCCAAGACCCTAGGTAGGGTTAATACATTTGAAAAACAGAAATACATACACATATTTCTACTGATTTGGTGAGGAGTCCTTTAGACTGAGTCCTTTGTCCGCTTTGTCCTTTAAAATATCTTGCACATAGATACATGTTAAGAATGGTTGAAGATTTTGGGAGAAAAATAATAGAGACATTTGGATGGTAGGGATCTATCAGCTTTTCTTTTGGCCTGTGTGGCCATATCTCTATCTGCTTACTACAGATTTCTTCACCATTATATCAAAACAGCTCAGCTCCTCTCCTCTGCATTTCCTCTCTCCTTCAGATCCTCATGTCAGAGCCTGGGAAACTGCTGCAAAAAGTCAAAGTTTGGCTCCAGGAGTACTGGAATGTTACCGACCTCATAGCTATCCTCCTGTTCTCCGTTGGGATGGTTCTCCGTCTGCAAGACCTGCCTCTCCGGAGCGACGGACGCGTCATCTACTGCGTCAACATCATCTACTGGTACATCCGGCTGCTGGACATCTTCGGCGTGAACAAGTACCTGGGGCCCTACGTCATGATGATCGGGAAAATGGTAAGAGCAATGGGCAAACCTCTTTTTGGCAGCGTGTCCTTAGCTCAGTGTCCTTAGCCAACGGCATTGCTGCAGATCCACCTGTATGATTTTTACACTAGTATTTTCATGAAGGCTAGAAATCAGTGCTTTCTTGAATCAAAACCTCCAGAATCAAGGATTAAATTTTTCCTGTTCTGTTAGAGGATGTATCATTTTTCCTCCTCTGACATGAACAGCAGAGCCACCCTACACCCCTGTGTGCCTCATTTGCAGAAAGTGCAAAGGAGATTTGGTGATTACAAAAGGCAGGTGGTTTGTTAAGGTAAAGAAAAAATTGTTCGGGTGTGTAGTACCTTGAGACTCTCAATGTGTTGTAATAGTCATGTTGTGTTCAAAACTATAATGGTTATGGTTGAGACTGACTCTCCTACAGTTTGATCCACATCCACATGCTCTTCCATCACTGAAGTTCAGGTGTGTCCTTGTGACATGAGAAGTCCATTTGCATAAGTGTGTGCCCTGGCCACATCAATTGTACACACCGTAGCAGGAATATTAACAGCTTGTGTGATAGCAAATGCATGCACGAGGAATCAAGAGACATTTGCTCCCATGTGCTTGACTTTTAATGTTTCAATTTTAAATTTTCATGTTTCCATTGAAATGTAGCAATTAGGCAGCATTTTGCTTGTTTCAGTTAAAGAAAATGGCTGGATTTACAGATGCACATATCCCTGATATTTGGATACCTGCACAAGTAGCTGATACGTATGTTCATGTTTCACATACAGTATCCAGCTTTTCTTGTGTAAATCATGTCTGTTTCATGCATTTTGAGGTTTAAGATTTGGGGTTTTCTTAATGGATTAAAGCCACTTGAAGCTCACTTTAAGTAAAAAAAAGTAAACTGAATATTAACTCCTCTAGATGAAATACTGCTATCTGTTTGGTATGTGGCAATAATCAGCAAATCCAAACAGGCTGTTGTATATATCTTACAACGGTCCTTAAAGAAAAGTTTCATCCATCCTCAGCATCATAAGAAAAGGGGACATGTATGAGTGCATGGACTATAATATGATATTACTTGGTATTACAATAGTCACAACTTATGAGGCTTAATGAGCAGGTATAAAACTGAAAGACAAAATATACATCCAGTTACACACCCTATCCAACAGGAAACCATTGTCTTATCCCCTCAATTTACCAGCTTTCTACTGCAAGCCCACAGTGCTGGGTTTGACAAAGAAAGAAGAGCTTAGTGGAAAAAAATCCAGTGAAGTAGATTGAGGGAAAACCTGAAAGTGATAATTGAGTTGTTATGTCCTGGAAAAGGGATTTTGAAGTGCCCTACCTTCAAGAAAGCCTATAGGTGGTTGACATGAGGTTTTGCAGAGCTCCAGAGTGAAAATACTCAGCAGTTCTTTTTGGAGATTTTTGTAAAAAGACAGCAGGACTAGAGAAAGGAATACAGATCAAAGAGAAAACACTGCCTTAGCAGGTTCCTTTCCTGCCACATTTGGACTCTCTTTCTGCCAGTGGATCTGGTGGTCACTGAAGCTTACACAATATGTGGTGTATAAAACTTGTGAAAAAACAGCTTCCCCTCTACTCTGCTTTATTTTTCACGGCTACATGCACTTAAAATTTCAGAACTGTGATGCTAACACAGGCAGGGTGAGCAACAGTTCAGTAACAGAGGGGCCACGTGTAACAAACTTCTAGTCTGTTACAGGTGGCTGATAGGAGCCCAACTCCACCAGCAGCGTAAAGAATGGTTCAATTTTCTTCAAGGTCACACAGAAAGGAAGTGATTGAAATTAATAGCATTTTCATTCCTGTGTCACTTTCACATGCATGCAACAAATAAAACCTTACTCCACTTTCCATGGAAAACAAATGCAGGAAAATATTTAGCCTCTGTGTGCTCAGTATCTACATTAGACAGTGTTGAATTTAGCAGCCAAACAGTTCTGAAGATCTAGGCAGTTATAGGAGGAAAATTATTCTATTTTGTGCCTTCCTGTTGCTTGGTTTTCATCATTTATCCAACTCTCCTTGCACTTTCAGCCACTCTGATAACATCCCCTTTGCCTACACATGCAATACACAACCAGTTTGAGTTTCACACATCAGCCTCTCACATCTATTTTCTGACCAGCTTACTCTCTTGTACAGCTCATGTCCAGCTGATGCACTCCTTGGAAGCTGCACCTGCTGACTCTAGGCTGCTCCATGGGCTCTCTTGTGTATTTTCGTTTAAATCATGTGTCTCTCTACCTCCTTGTATTCTGTCTTCCAAATGGTGTTGAAAGTTCAGTTCAGCACTGTGAAGGACATAAAGTTGATTATACATATTTCTACAGAGTAAGCACGTCATAACTACTGCGGTCCTCAACAGACCATATTTAATGCCTGAGACCTTTTTTTGAACTTCTATAGTAAGTTTGACACACAGGAGGAAAAGGATGGCTTTTTCTACCTTTCCAGTGCTGAGCTTTCTCTTCACCTGCCTCTACACTGCAGTCAATGAAATAGCTGTGATAAGTTTTACCTTTGGCCATTCTGAACAAACATGCAAGGGAAATTAAGCAAGAATCAGGAATGGGCTTGAGTGGTTTAAGAGCAATAGGTTAAAGCAAAGAAGAAGATACAAGGATGGCCAAGCTTATTATTGTCTACTGATTTCAGTAACAGAATATGCTTCTGCTTTTCTGATTTCTACACAGTGATACATCTAATTTCCTTTATGAAATTTCAGGAATGAAATTAAATTAAATGACTGTGGAATGTCAAGAGATTCAGAGGTATATCAGTTCCTTTAATGTGTGGAAATATCTGCATTTTTTAGCATTTCTGCAAATACAGATGTTGAAATATAGCCAACTTCTTTATGAAATTGTACCCCAAAAATTGTGGCTTAACACTTTTTTAAACAGGTAACTGATGACTTCTTTAGAATGATTGAAATAGCCATTGCCTTGCTAAAACAGCAATTGTAATTTGACATCACAGGCCAAAGGGCCTGATACAATGGTCAGTGGAAATTTGTCTATATATTTCATTGCATTTCACCCAAGTTACTGAGAGTTTAGAAGATACCCAACTGACAGAGGAGAAAACTAATGTGCATCTTGAGTAGGGAACAGCACTAAAAATATTATTTCTTGCAACATGAGGTCACACCTGTGTGACTCCTGATCAAAAACACTTGAAACATTTAAGACATTGTCTTAAATTGTCTCAAAATACTGATTTTGTTTATTTGCTTGCATGACATTTTTAAATAGTTATTACATTACATCATATCAAGTTATATTTTGCCATCTGACACAAAGTTTGATCAGACAAGAAAGGAGGAATGAGGTTTTACCTCTTGGTTTGTTCCCTAAAAGCAGTGAGAACTAAATATCATTATTCAGCTTTCTCATTTCAGGATGCTTTCTGAAGTACACTGATCTGGAATTTCTCTTCTTAAAGGAATATTTTTTTGAGAGATTAGTGCCCTGAGTTAAATGTTGATGATTGACTTCACTGGGTTTTAATTATTTAAAGCATTTCTTTTCCTCTTTCATGTCCCCAAGGTCTTTTTTCTTTCTTTCCTGCTGTTTTTATGAACCTCAACACTTTTGTTTTCCCCTGCTTTTTTTTCACTTGTCCTTAGTTTCTTCTTTCCATATTCCCGTTTCTCTCTCATCTGACCCCTGCTCTGCTGGTGCCTTTCTCCTAGAGCCTCTCTCTCTACACACGAGCATACCTTTTTCTCTTTGGTACCCCATAACCCTCTTTTCTCTGGCACATACTTTCCCAGTGTTGCTTTGACCTCAGGCTGCTTTAAAATTAAAGAACCTCTGCAGCAGTACCAGATCCATCTGCTGCAAGCAGGTCCCTCTTCCAGTAGCTCCTGCCATGAGTAGCCCTGCCCTTGGGCTGCAGCAAGTGCCCAGTGGAGCCATAAGGCCACCAGCTGAGGTGCAGGTTGGTTTCATGCCTCTCTTGCAGGGAGGACTGAATTCAGCTGAGCCAGAAAATATAGAGACTAGAGGGAATAAAACTCATAAGGGTTAGAGGATTCTTATCTTGAGTTTTGGCTAGAGACAAAAGTTATATCCAGAACTGTGAAAAACAGCTCAATTGTAACAATTATGAAGACCTGGCAAGTCTGTACGTTTCAAACGGATCTTACCAGGGACTTCACACATCTCCCATTTTTTTCACATTTACTTTGTGTAATCTCTGCTGTACCTGCCTGATGCCCATTGTTCTGCTCCCTTGAGGGCCTTTTCTAGAACAGTGCATCTTCTACACTTCAGATCTATTCAGCATCTTGTAGGATTTCTGTCCCACATTTCTCAGGAACATTTTGAATGGGTGGGCACTGTTTGCAAACACTAGTTAATCTTGGGCATATGTGAATGAGGCCCTCAACAGTGGAGAAGAACAGAGTTCACTGTCTGTTATCTGATTGGGTTTTTTTAATGCAGCATTTGTCAAACTCCCCCACCATGCGGATTTTTAGCCCAGCCAGTATCACAGCTTTCCTTTCTCACTGGTTGCCACCATGGTGTCCCTTATGTTGCAGTAACAGGCTGTTCTGCCACCCGTTCCTCCGTATGTTAGCTGCAGCTCCCTTTGCTCCAAGATAATGACTACCAGTGAATAAAATTATCCATGTCAGTCCTTTTGCTTAGGTACAGTTGCCACTTGGTACCTATAAGCATCATCTCACGACCCTTGCCCAGACCAGGCTGCTGATTCCAGTGAACCTATGTATTCTTGTTGAGGCAACTGGTGTGACCAGATGGTACTTTGTATTTTCAAGCCTATTCATAACATTTGAATTGTTCTTGGAAGTCACACTGGGTAAAACCAAGGACACAATAATACCACTTCACTTCTTTGGAAAATAATTTTTATGTATAAATGAGAACGGCTTTTCAAAATTTGTTTCTGAAAATTCTGTTTATAAGATTCACAGACTTTTTCTTTTTTTGCAGCTCATAATAATAGGAATATGGACAAATAAGTTCCTCTAATTCTTGTCCTTTCTCTCTCTTTTTCTCTCCTTTTTCCTGTCATTACATTCAGATGATAGACATGATGTACTTTGTCATCATCATGTTGGTGGTTCTGATGAGCTTTGGTGTGGCAAGACAGGCAATTCTCTTCCCCAATGAGGAGCCTTCATGGAAGCTGGCGAAAAACATTTTTTACATGCCTTACTGGATGATCTATGGGGAAGTGTTTGCAGACCAGATAGACCGTAAGCAAGTTTATGATTCTCATACTCCAAAGTCAGGTATCCTACTTTGATCAGATGATGTCCTATTAGATTATGTGTGTTTGCTCAATAAATGGCTCTGGATAGAGGAACTTCTTCAATACAGAGAATGAACACAAAAGTATTTTTTCAGCTAGTCTTGGGGTGTCAGTTTCAGAACATGGTTCTGGCATCACTTTGCAATCATTTAACTGGAAATCTGTAATGCTGAATTATCATGTATGCAGAGAATGTTATAAATGTGTCCCTTTTACCAGCCTGGGGACAAGAATCCCCTTCCAGGCATCCAGCATGAATTTGGTGGTATACCTAGGACACAAAAGGTCACTTATTTTTTTCCTCATCCCTTGTTTTATTTTTAGACCTAAATACTTTTTATCTAACTTCATATTGATCATTGTGTCTAATAATTAGGGGTTAGACCTTTCAGCTCCTGTATTTCATGGGGATCTAATCCGATGAGTTTTCTTTTCTGTGTTGCCTTTGCAGTACCACATTTAAGCTAAACCTTGTGATGCAATTCTTCAGATCTAATAATTAGATCCATTTTTAGAATATCGCTGCATTTATTTTTAGAAGGCAAGACTGTGCTCACACCAATGCAAAAAGGAAAGAGCCAGTACTAAATGTATTATCTCCTTAGGATTCATCAGATAGGTGATCAGGAAAATGCTGGGTTTCTGTTTAGATTAAATCTTGTGGTCCCACTCATTGCATTACCACCAAAAGACAGAGCTGGTCATGAGAAATGATGCAGTAGATGACCAAACTAAGAATTACAAACAATGTCATCTTTTACAACTACTGTCACATAACTGATGTGCATCATTCCTGCTTAACTACATGTAAGTCTTGGCAGCATTTGGAAGTCAGTACTTTTTCCAGTGGCAGATCGCTTCCATTAAAGCTCTGCTTAGGATATTTTTTTCTATGTACCATCTTAGGAAAGGACATTATTTTCAAAATTTATTTGCTGTTTGTTCAGCATTGACAAAGTTTGAATGAAAAAAATAAATTATTTTTCCTGGGTTGATTAAAAGTAGTGAATGTATCTATATCATAAATAATGCTCCCAGTTGAATACAGTGTCAATATATGTATCCCATGGCAGGTATTTTAGCAGTTTCCTGTTAACTTCTCCTTCCTGGCTAGCACAGAATCATTATTCTGGATACAGATAAAACCTCCTTTTTATCTTTGCTTCCCTACTTGGTTTTCACAGAGGCAGCAAGACATGCAAGGAAGTAAGCAAATATCTATAATCACAAAATTTCTCACTATATTTCACTTTTTACCCAATTCCCTCATTTTAATCCTTTTCCCTTTTCTTTTATTTTAAAAAATTCATTCATTCCAAAGGTGTAGTAGTTGGGGATATAAAACTTTGTCTTGCTCTAAAATCATATTTTAGAGGGATAAAGGTTTGTACCATTAAAAGAATACTTGCTTCTACAAGGAGATTAATGTCTGTCCCTCTACAAGTGGCCATTTATTGACATTGTACTAAGTACCATTAGTAGTTACTAGTTACTAGTAGTAACTACCATTAGTGCAACAAACTTGGCAATTGGCTGAATAAAGTGTTCTTGTTGGTTTCTTTTAATGAAGGGCTGATTAAAGTTTACAGAACCCATAAATGTAAGAAACTGAAGGGTGTTTAAGTAAGAAAATTGTGCCAGGCTGCACATCCTTGCATGAGGATTTGTGATATTTAGATGCACAATATTTAAATAATGCAAAAAGATGCAGAGTGATTATTTCTGAAGCTTAGGGGAAGCAAAATTCCTGGTGGCCTAAACTCCAGGTTTAAAAATAGACATATTGTTTTTCTGCCTGTATCAAGGGAACTTGCAGTTGCAGCAAAAGTGATGATGTCAAAATGAAAAGCAGCACCTACTTCCTCCTTCCTGAGAGGCAGATGATGCAGGGAATTAGAATCTGCCACTCTTCCAGCACAGTTTATGTACAGTATGTCCTGTCTGTCTGATACTCAGTTGTCTCAAAAATGTTATCTGTGGAATAGACTGGCAGCACAAGCAATAGTCGGTGATGTTGTTGCACAATCAAAATGACCCAATGGATACCCAGAAGGTTTTACTAGTATGCTCACATTTTTTCACTGTTTAAACATTTGCTGTTGTTTATATTTTCCACACTGTTCTAAGCTAAATCAGCCACTGTACTCATGTTAAAAGTGGTACAGTGTTTGTACTTTCTCAAATACGATAAGCATGTTCTAAAATTGTTATGCTACATCTAAAATGCAATTTAACTTCATGGTTTAGAGCACTTTTTTTTTATAATCAGTATTATTTTAAGGAAAAAAAAAGGAGTTGCTTTGTGCTTTTGTTTATATTTTGGTGTTTAATATTGCAACATTATTAGCGAGCTTGGGTTTCAGTAAAAGTGCTGAATAACACATGAAATAGCATGTTTATTTGAGCCACTGTCCTGGGAATCAATTCTGGTGGTCTAAGAAATGTACAAAAAAGTAGGCTACGTTAACATCTCTAATTTACTTTTCTTAAGAAAAATTGGTTTTTTCTATTTAATTAATTATTTTTATTTTATTTGTGAAGCATGCCATTAAGGCTGACCAGATAATGTCTGGATCCATCTCATCAGCTGGCAGCCTCTTCATCCAGTGGGTCTACTCTGGTTTTTATTTCAACACACTGCTAAATGCCTTGTTCTACAACAGTGCATATTTACATTTTTTACCCATAGTTTCTGTATTCATATCATTTTTTAAGGAAAAATATTGCAAGCTGGAGTATGTGTTAGTGTCCTGTTGTTATGTGATCTCATCTTCAACTCAAAAGTGAGGACAGATTACATCCTCACTTCTGGGATTATGAACACATTTTTCAGTGGTGCTGTTTATTATCAGTGATGTCTGTAACTGCTACAAACCTACAAATTTCTGACTAAGAATCAGTTGTAAAGTTGGGCAGAAGGAGAGTAAATCTCTTAGCTCAGTGTTCAAATTTTCAGGTTAAGTCAACAAAACCAGCAAAACCACTCTAAGTGCTTCCTCTCAGACTGAGAGGTCTGACAGTTCATCTTAATATGACCTACAAGACTTGTCATATTAAACAGGTGTTCCATACAAAAAGATGTAGAACTAGACTGGTCAGCTTCAGTTATTCTTGGATGAAGAGAGTGTGAGAAGTGAGAATTACTGAATATACCTAAAACATGCTGAGGGAGGAACCACAGACAGTAACACATGCAAGAATGACCGCTGCTAGCAACGGGGTCATCCTGGGTTCCTGGTGCTCTTTCAGTCCCAGCTACCCATTAAGTCCACAGCCCAGCTCCATGTGGCTTGGGGAGTGGGGAACTAGAAAAGACAGACTTTACTATCACAGTGCAATCATAATGGTATTCCTCTAGGTCATTGAATGGGAAATTAGCAGAGTATGATCTCTAAACAAAGGAGGTGCAATTATAATTAATTAGACCATATTTTTCCTGCAAGTGTATCTAGATGTTCAGCTCATTCTATGTAGCTGATCTGGCACAGACAGAAGGTAACACATGCCACATTATCTACTCGGGGAGTTTTAGAAATTACATGAAACAGTCTTTGGAATTATATAAAGATCAAGGAATAGTGAAGTTACTATAGTATGCTATAATAGTCAAGCTACTTCATGGAAAAGTCCAACCAGTCCAAGTGAAACATCAATAATGACTGAAACCACCCTGAGCTATTGAGTTTTGACTTCGGCCTAGAAAACCCCAATTACCAACTATTGGGATTCAGATAAAGGCTTAGACCTTAGAATTTAAAGCAGGCAGTAAGCTAATCAAATTTATAAATTATTTAAAGGTCGGGAAATGAAAAATTAATATACTTCAGGAGAGGAATAATAATAAGAGCTTGAGAAATTGAAAAAAATTAGACTGATATCAATTATGTAGTTGAGTAAAGATATATTATTATCCACTGATAGCTGGGGGAAGAAGGAGAATCTGAATCAGGGAGCTGGTGATGGCACGTGCAACTGTCTCACTTTGAGGCTGTCTTTCCTAATCCGTCTGTGCCTTGCGCTGCCCAACGGGATCCATGGGGCAGCAGCCAGCCATGTAACTGCTTCAGTGAATGCCCGTCTAGAAGTGGATTTCCTACAAACACTGTAAAATCTCTCCCTCAGTTCACCACACATTGGCACTTGTGCTGGCAGTTTTAGCCAGGAACATTCATAAGACAGTTCTCACCTGTGAAGAACTTTGTTTTCACCTTACAAAACTATTCGCCCCTCCAGAATACTATGGACACAGAAGTATATAAGAAATACTGAAGTGGAAATATGAGTTTGTTGGTAAAAAACATGTAGGTAGAGGAAACAAATGCCAGCTTGGGAAATGGCAGTCATCTGTAGAAAATGAACATCAGAGCTCATATTTTCCTGTATTCAGAAGGCTAAGCAAATGAACCTGCTGTTAATCGACATGGCTTCTGGGAAGTTTTTCAGATTTTCCTGGTGTCTCACAGGTTGGATTTCCATCTGGATTTTCTTACCAGCTGACAATACTTCATGTGCCATATGGAATCTGAAGATCATCCTGAATTGTATTTGTTTCTTGTGTCTGTTTCTGTTTTGGAAGAACCTACCTAGTTTAAGAGGAAAAGATCAGACCTCTTTCTCTTTCAATTGTATTAGAGGAATATCATGTAAACAGAATGCAATCATTTTAGAAGATAAGAGACCCTTATATACAGGTTTTAACTATTCGATGATCTTCAGAGGAAACTGTAATTACTACAAAAAACTTTTTAAAAATTCTTTAAATTTCTTAATCTCTTAGATCTGTTTAAATTTTATAATTCTTGAAAATTTCTTAGTACAAATGAAAAATATGTACTAAACTCTTTATGACCTTATAGGCTGCATGCTTTTCATGACTCAATAGGAGCTTCCTACTTGGCCTGTCCTTTGCATGGACCATTCTGGAATTAGAACAAACAGAACAGCTCTGTACAAAACAGAATAAGTCATGTGGCAATGCTTTTAATGTTGTTAGACAAAGGTAGTAGATAAGATTTTTGTGCAGACTACAATCAATTTTGAAAGCCACTCTGGGCTGGATTGCAGCAATATTCCCATATCTAGATCTCCTGATGTTGTAATTCAGGTTCTATTTGGCTATTTTTAATGGGGGAAGAAGGAGAGTAGGAGGAGGAAGAAAGCACTAGAGTGAAGAAGAAAATTACAGGGATTTACTATAAATTATTATTAAAATACCAGCAGATTGAGGAGATCCTTCAAAGTCACGTTTAATGTGGCCTGAGTCAAGAAGCAACATGGAAGGTCAGGATGCTGTAGTTAAAGAAACTTTCTTTAAGTAAGAGACACTGTTCAACTCCATGGATATTTCTACTGATGAACAGACTAATTCTGTGAAATTCAGTGTTCTCAGGTTTTAGTGTTTTCTCCATCAGTGAAGAAGAGAACAACTTTAGGAAGGCCACTTAATTTTTTTTTGGATAGGGGCTGGCAGGTTTGAATATTTACCAGCCTGGTAAGCTGGTTAGGCTGCTTAGACATTTCGTTCAGAAACTATAAAACACTTTCACATCCTTTGCGTTCATTGTGGGTCAAAATTGGAAGATGCCTACGTACTTATAAATAGGATGATGAAAGTGCATTAAAAATAACCAGACTTGATTTTTTTTTTAATTGGCTTTTGTTATTTGGTTGCACTTACTTGTTTCCACTTTATTTAGAATTGTGAACACAGGAAAGCATCCCTCAGTTTATTGTGATTTCAAACAAATTAGAAGTTTTCATCAAAGGCAAAAAGCTGTTCAGTGACAGATCTGTTCAATTTCCCACACCTGCTTTGGAAGGGTGCAGTTGGGGGAAGAGTCATGATGCAGAAACTCACCAGCATCCTTTCCCAAGCCCTCCACCCAACATACAGTAAAAGTGAGCAGTGCCCTTGTCATGACAGTAATTACAGCAGGGAAACTAATTCTTCCGGAGCTCTGCCTCCACGTTAGGCCTGAAACCCACAGCAGCTTGAATTACTTTCAGGTTTTTTTGCAACTGTTTCCTGGACAGGAAGGAGGAAGGGTTAGGTATGTAGCAGGTAAGGCCCAGCAGGAAACTGTAAACAGGAGTCAGGAAGGAAAAGTAAGCATGGAGATAGATTGTGAAAAAGGAAACAAAGAATGCAAAAAGTATGTACATCTACAGGCGTCAAGATGCAATGTTTGAAAACTTTGTGAAGTTAATTCATATAATTGAAATTAAAACTCCAACCATTTACTGTTTTCTAAAGCCTAAATTCAGGACATAGTATCTGAACTTTATCCAATGACCTGTAAGTATCAGAGCTGTTGGCTTTCTCAGTTACCTGAGATTGGCATATCGTTATGCTACCAGAATTTGTTTCTTCAGTAAAGAATTTCACTAGAATTAAGTATTCTGTGGTTTGTGTTAGAGCAAGGCTATAATGTAAAACATATGAGTCAAGTTTGCATACATGTTAATATTGTGCTTTGAAATATATTGCAATATATTAATGCACATATTACAAAAATTACTTCATTTCTCCAAAAATAATTTTAAAAATTTAATGATGTTACACATGAAGGATGGCACAGATTCCTCAGGGGTGAGGCAGAGTGCACACCTTTAATTAATAGTGGGGGGGGGGGGGAACCTTTTAAAATAAATGTCATAGTTTAAACATGAATGATGTTCAATGACATGCCATGGAACACAGACTGCTGCATTTTTGGACACACGTCACACGTTTTCTCCTGCAGCTGAAGATGTGAAAATTAAGTGGTGGCTTAGCTCTCCATTAGTAAGGCAAGAAATTAATATTCCTGTGTTATTTTAAAACTGCACCCACAACAAAACATGCAAAAGAGAAAAAGCCAAGCCAAGCTTCAGGACAAACTGAACCACAATGGGTATATAGAACAGACTGTGGGAACGTGTCTACATAGAAAATCTAATTTGGCTATCACTGTGTGGCATAAACCAACAGAGATTACCAACTTGTGAGCAAGGAGACCTGGAGAAATACTTCTTGTCTTCTTAACTGGGTTTTGGGTTTTTTTTCTAGATTAAATTCTATGGTTTTACAGGACAAATGGTATAGTATATTTGGAACCAGAGTTGGAGCCGAGTTTTTGGTCTCATTTACCTAAGGTTTGAAAAATGCTTTTCAAAATTTTTCTCATTACTTGGTAAGATATTATTTCTTCTGTTTTCAGCACAAAAAAGGACAACAGCTTTCAGATACTGTGATTGTTCCATCACTGCTGAAATCATGATGGGTTTTGGTACTTTGTTGTATTGGACTTTGTACATCTGACTCAATATATGAGCAAGTTAATGTTTCCACACAAGGAGAGATGTAAGTTTCACATTGAGTGCTGATAGCAAGAGGTGTTGAATGGTGCAGTTTCTTCTGGGTGAAGGCCAAGAGCAGAGAGCCCTGCGCCCCCAGCACCTCACTGATGGTATTTTGAATGTCTAAATGAAACCACTGCTTGGAGCAGTGTGGAAATAGCCCTGTGCTAAAATGATGAGCAAAGTGATATTTACTGAGAAATGAAGAATTCGATAGTCTCAGCCTGCTCCAGTAATAAAATGTGGTTTTGCAAACAGGAAGGACTGGTAACACCATGTGACCAAACACAATGGACCTGATAGTAAAAAGCAGTCTTGCTTGTATTTGACTCGGGGATTTCTTTTTCAGTGAGTTGAATATTTTTGGAGAGGTCATGTAGTCTTGTGTCGCATATAGCTACTATAGTTCTGTGTGTAATAGGCTAGTATCTACGTGTAGTGCTCAAAACAACGTACCAAAATCACACATAATGCAATATGATGGCCAGTACAGGCATCCACAAGTGAATGTCAAGCTCAGTGAACCAAGTTCAGAGGAACATTTTTGAAAAGATGCAATGGTTGTTACTGGAAATGTGGATTTGTTGCCATACAATGAAATTCTACATATGGCATCATCAAACCTCATTTTCCATGAAGTCAGTACAAAACCCCCACTGATATCACTAGGAACTGAGCCAGTGCTGAGCACTTTGGAAGTTCTTCACTTAAACTTCATTTTGATGGAGATGAGGGGAAGCTAGCTGTAGTGCTGTGCAAAATTCATTAAGATGGCTATGTAAGGATGTATGTAAGCAGCTGATCTATGTAAGCTCCTGCTTCCATTATTTTCTTGAAGAGCTGATTGTGAAGATACATAGAACCACCAGGACTGAAGGTACAGAGACATAAACTGAACCCATGCTTGCACATGAAGATTATTCACCACTGCACATGAGGGCATATTAAAACACAAGCAGGGAAAACTATTTCAACATGTTTTCTCTCCCCTTGTTTCAGTTCTACAACATTAATACCGAGAACATTTTGATTCCAATGTATTTGTGGAAGAAACAGGTGGCATCTCTGCTGCATACATGTCCCTGTACCTGGTTCAGTAAAGACTCGATAATCTTCCCCACTGTTTCTAGGCATGCAGTCAAGAGTCCTTAATAGCAGAAAGTCATTATGAGTATGTCCTAGTGGGGCTTGAGACAGTGCAGTGCTCACAATAAATGTCTACTCTTTCATTTACGTCCATAGACTTCCTTTTCCTTATTTATCACATCCTTCTCTATCAATAAAAAAAGACAACGTTTTCACTTTTAAAGGAATAATATGCAAGCTTTTTTGTAGGATTAAACAATTCAATAATTTCATTTTCACAGCCACTAATTGCCACCAGACTACCATGTTATTTTGTATTATATACGCAAACAGGCAGCTTACTTGCACCAGGCATGTGTCCTGAGGGAAATATCTTGATAACCCATGGTACATAACACACAATGCAGCCTCTAAAATCTGTGATACCAAGCATAAACTTCTGAGAGGAGGATGTCAATGCCATTGTTATTTGGAAGATGTTGCCTTGGCAGGCAGGCCATTATAAATATTTCAATATTTCTGCAAAAACTACTGAAAAGATAAGATTCATTCCCATTTTGGTTTTTTTGTTTGTTTGTTTGTTTCTAAATTTTGTTCCCAGCACCTTGTGGTCAAAATGAAACCAGAGAAGACGGCAAAATTATCCAGCTACCTCCCTGCAAGACAGGAGCATGGATTGTTCCTGCCATCATGGCCTGCTACCTCTTGGTAGCAAACATCCTTTTGGTGAATCTTCTCATTGCAGTTTTCAAGTGAGTGACACATTGCAAAGTATAGGCTTGGGGAAGATATATATTGTTCACAGCCTACAAAGACTGCTGAGCTTTGACTTTGGCTGAGAGACATTTTCCAAGGATGTAAGGGGGAGAGGGAAAGAGGCTTGTCTCCAGGAAACTAAGGAAATGCCAAGTCTTTCACATTGTGCTCATTTCCAAGGACAGACACCTAATGGGAACCAGGGCAAAGAAGCCAAATAAGGCTTAGTTATGGCATCATTAATTCCCAATAGGGAAAACAAGAGTAAAAAATACTTCCCTATCTCAATGGGATGTTGTAAGACTTGGGGGTTGTACAGCACAGACCTTTACAGCCGTAAGGTACTTCAAAAAGGCTGATTATCAGCATGCTTTGCCTCTGATAAAAAAAACCCTCCTCTTTTGTTCTGCTTCCTGTTCTTATGACAAGGAAAGATTTGCCAGTGTTACTGAAATGTATCTAGTTATGATGCTGTCACATCATCTTGGGCAAAGCACCCCCAAAACCATTTCCAGTCTGATGTTATTTTCCTCTTCTTGCCTTCTAGCAACACGTTTTTTGAAGTCAAATCTATATCGAACCAAGTTTGGAAGTTTCAAAGGTACCAGCTCATCATGACATTCCACGAAAGACCTGTTCTCCCACCACCTCTGATCATTTTCAGCCACATGACGATGATATTTCAACACCTCTGCTGCAGATGGAGGAAGCATGAAAGTGACCCTGATGAGAGAGACTATGGATTGAGTAAGACTCAGATAATGCACAAAGGGGACTTTCCAATGCCTTTCATAATGTGTAGTGTTTGACATGCATGAAGTCAAAGCCCAGCACCTTGATAACCTTCCCAGCAAACTAACAACTCTCACCTACAAAAACGTTACCTGAACAAGTTAGTTTTGCCTGATTTGGCCAACCCTTCATTCTCTTTGCAATGTCAAGGAGGCTGTGTTTTTCTGGAACTATTTGAGGTTGTTGCCTGTTTGCTCCTTCAGAGCAAAGAGGTTTGTTTTGCTGTTACTTGAGGTCAGTTATTGCTGGAATTCTTCTCACCCCATCACAGTTCCAGCTTTATTTTTGAAAATACGGAGCAAACAGCTCATGCCTCCCCTGAGCACGCTTTTTGCCTAGATAAGCTTAGAGATGGTAAAAGGCAATTTTGTTTACATAGTCTCTCCTTGACTCTGACTCAGACTGGAGGAGTAGCTCCTCAACAGGCTTTAAATGAAGTCCCATAACCATGATGGAAAACCTGTCAGATTGTTTTGATAACACTTTTCTGTTCTCTATCTAACTCTTCAAGGCAGAATATCTCCACCTTGGCCAATGTACATGCCAGAGGCAGGGAGCTGAGGGATGTGTATCTCTTCCCAGCATTAGCCCATGCCACAGCCCACTTTTCTGTGAGGAGGGAGCAGGAGTCACGTGTGGCACTGGAGATGCTACCAGCCGGCTCTCCTCCCGCTCCCATCACACTGCTGCCTGCAGATGTCACTGCTTGCCACGTCAGACAGACCCCTGTATGCTCAGACTCTTTCCTAAGAGTCTGCTAATCTCATTATATGTCTGCTGGGTTACGGGTGGGCTTTGGCTTTCACCATCTGTCCAGGACCTGACCAGCAGCTGTGTTTAGATCTCATGTAATCAAAACATATTCACGTTTGCTCAGCATTTACCTGGTTAAGTGCTTCTGTCTACAGAACCATATATAACTAAAACCACTAATTTAGTAATTAACAGCATCTATCTCATTTCATATCAAAATGCCACATACTTGCTTATGAAAATTAAGTCCATGAGTTTCACAAATAAGTTTGTAGTTAGTTTGCATGTTAATATTTGCCAAATTTTTATTTCTCAATTTTTTTCCACAGAACTTTTCATTACTGAGGATGAATTGAAAAAGGTCCATGATTTTGAAGAGCAGTGCATAGAAGAGTATTTCAGAGAAAAGGATGACAGATTCAACTCCTCCAATGATGAAAGAATCCGTGTCACTTCAGAAAGGTGCACTTTTTTGTTCTCATAAGTTGCTCTGGAAATATGTTTCTGTCACCAGCCTCACTATTTCTTTTTTTCTTGTAAAAGGAAATTAAGTAGTTTTGGTAAGTCTTAATTAAAAAGTAAAGTGATAAAATGTGATGAGTTTATTTTCTCTTTTTCTGGATTTTTTGTGTTGGTGGTTTTTTGGTTGCTTTGGTTTTTTGTGTGTGTGGGGGGTTTTTTGTTTGTTTTGGGGTTTTTTTGTTGGTTTTTTTTTGGGGGGGGGGTTGTTTTGTTTTGTTTTGGTTTTTGGTTGTTGTTTTTTTTTGCTAAAGAATATGTGTTCAAGGCTGGGCTAGGTGTGGCTCTGAGGAACCTGGTCTAAAGGGAAGGTGACCCTGCCCATGGCAGGAGGGTTGTAACTAAATGATCTTTAAGGTCCCTTCCAACCCACATCATTGTAGGATAAGTTTTGTAAAAGGGATCTTTTGTCCAGTTGTATTAAAGTATAACCGATGCAGTGAGAGGCACCAAGTATGCTTGCATTTCAGTTCTTAAAACAGAAATTCAGGGCACAAGTAGTCACAATAAAATGGGAGTAAATTAGAGTTCCTCAATGAAAAACATTACTTTAGAGTTTATCTGTAAGTGACTCAGATAAGAAACAAGCCTTATTTTCAGGATAGCCTGGCTAGGTAAGCTAATTTCATTAGAACCAATAGCAACATGGATTTTAAATGGAATAAGACATTTCACCTAGAGTAATGCACAGAGGAAAAAAGAAATACAGTAATTTAGTAGGAGTTGCTAGTCTTCAATTTCAAAGGATATTAGAGGGGAAGATGGTAAAGTATGGAATGGCTACCTTGTAAAGGATGGTCAAGTAATCCAACATTCCTGGGTCTGGAAGAGACAAATGAGGGATGAAATTATAGAGGTCTATATAAGTGTGAGTGCAAGGAAAGGGTGAGCAGAAATCAGTTGTTTGCTGTCACACTCAGAACAAGCTATAGGGGAGTAACAGAATAATTTAGCAGGATCCTGGATTCAAAATAAACAGAAAGTGGGTGATTCTTTTTTTTTCATGCAGTAACTATGTAAAAGAACAAATTTTTTGAAAGATGGTGAGGTCTAAAAGAAGCTGATGATGTCAGCTAAAATGCTACATGCATTCAAAGACTAGACAGGCTTGTGAAAAAGAAATAGTCCAGTAAGGACTGCTAAATACATAGAGATCATGTTGAGCACATAAAGTTCCTGAGCAAAAAAAAATTAAAGACTGAAGAATATATGGGAGGAAGAACTACATATATTTCAAAGTAATATAGTAGATAAATTGGTCTGTGATCCCGTGGAGTACCTTTTTTTCTTGTGTTCTGATAGTTTGGTGGCCACAGAACTGAACTGAAAAATCAGAGATGCAGGTTCAAATCTCTGAGCATAGCTTTTTGTTTGGTGGCCAAGGAAGGAAGAGGTATGTTTGAAGACCTGTAAATAAGAAGTAATCTAGTTGGGTCCTCCCCTACATCATGCAAGTGCTGTAAGACCTTGAAAATAAAAACATAACAGTCTGTCTTTTCATTCTGTGCTGACCCTCTTTTATAGGAAAAGAGCCCTTATCTCTAATTTAAATGAGAAGATTAAACCTTGTTCCTGAATCAAGTTCGTGAGTATGAATCCTAAGTGAAGACAAACACCTGAGCCTCACAGAGAAATAGCTCTTTAAAAATCCATTTACCTTAGCCAATAGTTTAACATGGAGACTAGTGTGCCCCAGCTCTGTAAGAGAGATCCAGGTAGAGACCCTATGGGGTACAGAGGTCACTCTCAGGCCAAAACAATCGTCCCAGGTGAATGCAGTTCTTATTTCATAATAGGTATGAGGAATATTTAAAAGATGCTTGAGGAATCAGGGCTATCTGAGTATCATACATAACACATTTTAGAAATAGGAAGCCTGGGTCTTTTATTTTGCCTGGAGTCATGACCAAGTCCTCTTAAATCTAAACCACTTGTCTTGGTTCCAGCCAGGGCAGGGTTAATTTTTGCAGTAGCCAGGAAGGGGTAGGAGGACCCTGAGATTATTTGATACCACGTTATGTCATTGCCAGGGGCAAGGGAAAGGGACTCTTGCTTCTTAGGAGGAGGGATTCCCTCTGGTCAAGAAAACATAACGGATGGAAGTCTGGTATTGTTTATTGTCAGGGTCTTTTCACTGCAAATAATTTATCCTCCTTCTCCTTCTCCTTCTCCTTCTCCTTCTCCTTCTCCTTCTCCTTCTCCTTCTCCTTCTCCTTTTTCCAGCTTTTCTTGTAATTTTGTTGCTGTTAGTGTTTATTTTCTTCTTTATTTCCAGTAAGTTGTTCTTACCTCAAACTTCACCTTTTGTGCCTCTAATTGAAGCAGGGGAGGGGAAGTGGCAGCATGGTTTCTAAATTGGAGAATACCTTGCCTAAACCATGACAACACTAGAATTATTTTTGTAACCTGTGGAACATTCAGATATGTAAAATCCAGACTGGCACTTTAGAGTTTCTCTATACAGTTATCATTGCACAAGTAACAACATGCAGAGCAAAGAAAGCAGAGAAGATGCAAGACTATGGTTTCTCTTCCAATGTCCAGTCACTAGCCTGTAGTAGTAGACCAAGTATAAGACCCATGTTAGAGCCATGAGATATCACTTTAGTCATCTGTCCAATTAAGCCAGCTTTATGTGGTGTAAAATTGAACCAGAAAACCCTGGAAATGTGAGTGAAGTTCTTCCCAAAGACCTTTCATTTACAAGAAGCTGAGCATGCTGTTAAACTCCAGAAGGGAAGGGTTGGGACAGGCCCTGTGTGACATAACTGCACCTGGACCTGGACCCGGACCTGTCACTGCCTTCCCTCGCCTCTGTGCATATGTGGTAATGCTCCCCTCTGCTTGAGCATCTGGGTTCATCAAAGGTCCTGCAAGGAGGAAGAACAGCTGCACACCCTGCATACAAAGCCCTGTGTACCTGGAAGCAAGAGTAGGGGGCTAGCACTAGAGGGAAATGTAAGATGAGAACAGAGTTTTGCTTCGAGCCTCAGTGGGTCACAGAGACAGGTTAGGGGCTCAGGAAATCAAAACAAGAAGAGATCCTGTGCACTGATGCATTGACCTGGGGATCAATGAATGATTTCAGTTGTGCAGTCAAGGGCTGCGCTGGGGCAGGACCACAATGTCTTGTGTGACTCACCTGCAATGAGCTTCAGCTGATACTCTCACCTTGGGATAGTCCACCCTGGCATTCTGTGGGCCTGCCTCAGTTCAGGAATCTCCTTACTTCTCTTGTAACAACAGACACCACCAAAGTCTTCATATTTGATGTCACCATACAGAATTCCTCCTTTACCTGATCACTTCACATTCAGAAATTAAAAGCATAGAACAACACTTGATGTTTGTCTTTCCTTGACCTCAGTGCTAAGCAACTGAGAGTAGCAGCTGTTGTTGGGAGAGTGGGAACTACAAGCAAAGTTTATTAAAGAAGCCCTGCTTCTTCTGTCTTCTGACTCTGATGGGAAGAAAGAACTCCACTGTGTATTTAAACTCCTTCAAGAAAGGGGTCTCAATGAAGATCAGTCCTTCCTTAGCCTCAGATTTTGGCAACAGTTTAAATTTAAGGAATAACTTTGTCTGGCAAGTTCTAATGACGGCAAATCAGATATATTTGTATAAAAATAAATTATTTATTAAACTGAGAAAAGATAACAGATGGAAAATCTTAATCAGAATTAGTTGTTATATAGTATAGCTATAGCTATATAGTATATAGCTATAGCTATATATATAGTATATAGTATATATAGCTATAGCTGTATAATAACAGTTAAAATAGTGGATTAAAGCATGAAACAGTGCACTATATCAAGCTACCTATATTAAAGCTAGCAAAAGAAAGAGTATTGATTAGGAGTCAAATGCAACTTACCACTGAAGTGATGATAATGCAACAAATACCTTCACTTAACCCCTGGGGAGTAACCACAAAGAAGGTGGTTACTCCTATTAACAGGAGAAACTTCACACTTTTCCAGGAAAATGTATACAAGATTTCTACTTTGTGAAGGGTTTTTGTGGCTTTTGTAGTTGTAAAGTGAGTGGCTGTCAGTCAGAAATGCAGTCTGTCTTGTCAGTTCTCTAAGATTTTTATTGGCAGTTGGGAGATGCTAGACCAGTGACCATGGCACCAAAATCACTTTTCAAGATTATACCCCCTGAAATACAAGACAGCTTGTCCTGTTTGAGTTATCTGACTGGCTAGCAAACAACAGATTTGGGGGTTGAGATGCTCTGCTACAGAAGCCCACACTCTGGGATTTCACACAAGCACTTGGTAGTAGTATCAGGTTATTGATACATATCAGATGAAGTTATAGACTAAGTGGAAAAATATAAAGCAATACAAGGCTGTAAGGTGTTTCCCTTGAATGCATTTATCAAAGTATGCATAGTGAATCTCCTGAAGACATGTGAGGAAAGCTAAATTGGATAAATTAACTTCATTGTAGTAAAAGAATCACGACCTTTTGTGGAGACTATTTCTTTCTAATCACTGTGTTGCATCTTGACCAGAACAAAGACGTGTAATATGATCAAAAAAGACTGCACTGTTTTTCTTGATCTGGCATGAAGTCACTGAAACAATCACTTCAGTGAGCATTTGTTCCATGTGAAGAGGTCTCAACTCTTTCATACCTGTGCAAAACCTCATGTTGCTTTCAAAAGGAGCAGGGTCACATCATAACAGTATTTGAAAAGTAGATAAGCTGGTTAGAGCAGATATTATTATGTCATCTTTGGTACTCTGTGGTATCCATTAGTACAGCACTTTATAATCTACAGTGCAATTACACGTACAGCATCTGTGTGGATGATGACATAGCTATTATCTTGATTTCAGAGCTGGCAGGCTGAAGTGCACAGAAATAGCTTTGTGTTGGTAAAAAGGACTGACCGTATCAGGCCCACCCAGACATAAAAAATGACAGCAGGAAAGGTCTGTGACTCTGGTGGCATCTCTCTGTGGTCATAAAGAGTTAAGTGGTCTTAGGCTCCAGCGGGAATGCAGCCATGACAACCCAAGTTCCTTAGCCAGGAAAAACCACTGCACCCGGGAAAACTGGCTGGCTGCTTCCATCAGCACTAGATTACCAAAAGATGTCAGGCAAAGTACCCTGTTACAGGCTTGGGATCTGCTGTCTATGTTTTATTTAAATACAGCCATTCCACAATCACCTATCAGAAGCTCAGTGGTATCTCTGTAAGTGGCTTTCATGCCAACGGTCCTCGTGGTTTTTGAAAAGGATTTTGAAGTATGAATGATGTCTTAGAAAAGGATTTTGAAATACGACCGATGTCTTAGAAATGGACCTAGGTCAACAAAGAGACTTGTGAACCTAATTCTACTATTCAGTTAAGAGGTCTACCTCTGAAAAGAATGCCTTACTCTCATTAAAGAATTCTTTTAAATAAACTATTGATGAGCTAATGTGCACAGGTTATATAAATAAAGAAACCAAAATGAATTCCAGCAAAAGTCATAATCTCCCAAACCATAATTAAAAAGTCTTACTGCAAGTAATATAAAATCTTGGTCTGAGTTTTCACTTTGTTATTGAATATTGTCCTGGTAACGTCCACATTTGTTTCACTATTAGAAATGTTTTGAGCTTCAGCAGCACACCTTGATGCATGTTTTACATGTAGCATCCTCTTTTTCTCTTCTCATTCTGTTAGCATGGCTTGGCACTTTCCAATACATTGAATAACACATTGAATAATACATTGAATAATACACTTTATAATACATTGAATCTTGCTGCAAGGAAAAGCACAGGTGTGAAGGAGGAATCATAGATGGATATTGTGAGATTTGCTAAAAGGTTCATACTTGCTGCTGAATACATATGGAGAAAATAATCCCAAAGCAAAACTTGGGCATTCTTATTTTGAAACTATGTTTTAATTCAAAACTATTCCTAAAGGAAACACAAGTCAGGCCGTCTATTCACTGAGGGCAAGAACATTTTCCCAAGAATATGGGAAAACAGAAACATTAAGGTATTTTAAAAACCAAATTAGGGGTGTATCTCTCCAGACCATATCCTCCTGTGTTCTCAGTGTTTGGCTGATGTGATTTTATCATGTTTCTAATAGGCTCTCTCCCAGAACATGGTTGTTCTATAGGGTGAATGACTACAGAACTGAACATCGAATACAAGAGAATATCATAATAGAATAAATATTTGTTAAACATTCTGGAGTAGCTATATATATACACATATATATATATATATATATAACTAAGGGTGCCTAAGTATCTTTAGGGTTGGAGGAGACCATCGTCTTTCAAGCTTTCTTTTTGTGAATAAAATTCTATAGTCAGGGCTCATGAAGTGCAAACACATGTATGCATTTTTCAGTTACCCTATGCACATCTCTGGTTACCTGTGGTTTCCAAACCCAGCCTGCTCTGTGCTTATCTTGTTACATTTCTCTCTAAATTTTCCACACTATCAATGCAATCACATTTGTCATCAATTCCATAGCAACCAAGAGACCACGTAACTCAAAAGTCTCTCTTTGCCTTGTCTGATGCTCTGTGCCACTGACAATAGCTGCTAGATCCCATCCAGGGAAGGCAGAACAAAGGTATTTTTCTAGGTTCTCCTGGTTGTGTTCAGTAGCATTGCATAGGCCTCACGTGAATGCAAGACACAAAACTTACCTCACTATGGACAGTTCCACTTATAGACCAACTGGATATGTTTGTATTAAAAAATATTTCACTTGTGTACAGGTGTCAAGACAGGAAAGAAAAAACAAATCAAACCAAAACAACAGCAAAAATAGCAACAACAACAAAACAACAAAACCACAACCAGATTATCCAGTCAGCTTTAAATAATGTTATAAATTCACTCCAATTCTTGGTAACTGCTGCTGGGGTGAAAGGTTTTTTGTGGGATGTAATCTGAGCTATAATTGTCCAGTAAAATCCAGTAAAATTTTTCCTTATGTCTGACAGCCCTAAAATTGCAATGTTTTATCTGTTCATCTTCTTGAAGCAGTTCTTATAGGATCTGACTGTGGGGTGAAGGACTCAATTATTGGCTAATAAATATTTCAAAAGTATAATTGCTTGTATATAATAGTAGTTTATATGAGTGAAAATTCAACTGCTTCCCATATAAACTGCTCTCACTGTGGAATTACATCCTATACTTGCAATAACATTAATCTTTTTTGTTGGAGAAGCTGGTAGAACTAGAAACAGACTGGTGCCTAAATGATAATGGGTAGAATGAGATTCCTTGAAGCTACCAGCTCATTTCTTAACAGTGATTACTTGATCATTTGTCTACTGAAGACTGATGATAGTAATACAGTTGTTGCCGCACGTTTAATTTCTTGTGCTTGTGCCTTCAAAACTCACAGGCTTCACAGGAAAAGCCTGTATTTCCTAGGAATGTGAGACTTGCTGTAGGGAGCTGAGTCACACTCCTCCCTGTCCTCTCCTCTCCTCTGTGGGCAGGTTCTGTTGCTCATCACCACAAGGTAGTCAGGCTTCAGTGTTTTACCAGAAAAAGTTCTAAGCATTAGGTAACAGGGCATTAGTGCTGTCCAATATTCTATTCTTTGCTATAACCTTCCCCTCTATGGAAATGAGTGGTTATGGTGTTGTCAGCTCCAACTCACTTGTCCTGATGAAAAAATAACTAGCAGGAGTATAAGATGATATTTACCTCATCAGAAATCCTGACAATGGTTTGTGTGCCTAGTAACTATGGCAGTGTGACTAGTAATACTTGAGCATGAATTGCACTAACTGGAAGAGAGTAAGAGACCTGTGATGAAAAAGAGTGTGAAAATTTTACCATTTGTTGTCTTTTGCCTCTCTGATCATTTTTGATGTCTACAGCAGTGGGGAAAAACAGAATTATAATCTATCAGACACAGAGAACTACATAAACTTGTGGCTTTTAATACTTCTTCAATGGAAAGTGGAAGTCCCAGAGTGTCAGAGGAATTACAAACAGACAAAATAATTATAGAAATTTCTTATGTGTTACAAGCAATTTCATAATGTAAAATTTTCAGGCTCTATAAATCCTTTAGAAGACACATTTTAGAAGTCAGAAAATTTAAGTGGTTAGGAGCCACTTGCAAAAATCTGTACACAGTTCCCTAAAAATTGAAAATATTTTAAAATGTGACAGATCAAAGGTCTAGAAAAGACATACTAAAGTTTAAATTAAATTAAGTTTAAAATACTGAATCTTACATTCAATTATTACCTGTTTTTTTAATCTAACTTTCTTACTTATATATTATGATAGCAGCTGAAAACTAACTTTAAAATCCATCATTTCAATTCTTAAGCTATGAACAAAGACTACCCAAAGTCTTTGTTCATAGACAAAGCACTCACAGTAATGGAGCAATCTTAGTTCATGTTCCCTGTTGCACACTGTATTTGGCTTGATCGGTGTTTCTCCTCCTTGCAGTATTCATGAATATTTAACTCAACATTATATATATTCAACAAAATAGCTGATATTTCCTTTTTTTCTACAAATCTGAGCTAAATATTAATCAGAGAACAAAGAAACTATCTTCTTAGATTGACACAGAACTAGGTAGTGCAAATCTGGGGCAAACACGAGTCAAAAATACAGCAGTGCCTCTCTTCTGTGGCACATTGCCTGCTTTCTTTACTTCATTTAGCCACCTATGATGGTCCTGACTGTGTCACAACTGTGGGCACAACATCATGTGGGATCTGCTTTGGGTGTTATTCATTCATAATTAGAAGCTTTGGAAGCAAAGAGGCAGTAATTAATAGTAATATTTATTTTAAAAGTCTCGTTCCCTGGAATGTGGCACATCCACAGCCCCTCTGCATTATATAACAGATGCCCCTGGTTTAATCCACTGTATCAATTCCCTGAGTGCGTAGCTTTTTTCTTTTTCTTTTCTTTTTTTTTTTTTTTTTTTTTTTTTTTTTTTTTTTTTTTTTTTTTTTTTTGGCAAAACCTCTTTTAGCAGGATTTTGAATCAGATAAAGTGTGTACATTGCCTTTGGGATTTGAGATGTATTTGTTTCCAATGGGTTGGTGACCTATTAGCTGAAGATCAGTGATTTGTAGAAATTTACCTGTTTAATTCTTCCCTTTCTAAAGGGTGGAGAACATGGCCATGCGACTGGAAGAAGTGAATGAGAGAGAGCACTGCATGAAGGCCTCTCTGCAGACTGTTGACATCAGGCTTGCTCAGCTGGAAGACATGATGGGACGAATGGTGACTGCCTTAGAAAAGATGGCTGGCATTGAGAGAGGTGAGACAACAAAGATCCGATCCAGGACCTCATCTGACTGTACTGATACAGCTTACATCGTGAGGCAGAGTAGCTTCAACAGTCAGGAAGGAAATGCCTACAAGCTTCAAGAGAGCATTGATCCCACAGGAGAGGAGTCCATGTCCCCAACGTCACCTACAATCACACCCCGCTTGCGAAGCCACTCCTTCTATGCAGCAAATATGAAGGACAAGTGTGGGTTGGAAAAGTTGGAAAGCATTTTTAAGGAAAGATCGCCAAGCCTGCATCGGGCAATCAGTTCCCACTCAATAGCAAAGGAAGGAAAGGCTCCTTTACCCCCTACCAGCACTTTGTCAATCGCCCCAGACTCCAGAAGACCTTCGTCTTGTATAGACATCTACGTTTCTGCCATGGATGAGATGCATTCTGACACAGAACCTCTCGAGAGCTCCATAAATATTCTTGGTCCTGAAGATGCAGCTCTGCCAGCTCACATAGCCTCTTCCCTTTTAACTAATAGTGCATACATCAGCAGTACAGCTGGTGAAAAGATCTCTGGCAGGAGTCTTGATTATGAGGAAACTTCTGGAATAGAAACAAGAGCATTTTCTTCAGACTATTCACAAATCACAGACTGCCAAATCCCATGGGATTCAGACCCTCCCTTATATCATACTTTAGAGCGATCCAAAAGCAGTCGTTACCTGGCTACTACTCCATTTATTCTGGAGGAAACACCAATTGTGAAATCCCATAGCTTCATGTTCTCTCCTTCTCGAAGCTACTTCAGTAGCCTTGGTGTCCCAGTCAAAACAGCAGAGTACACAAGTATTACAGACTGCATAGACACGAGGTGTGTGAGCGCTCCCCAGGCCATTGCAGAGAGGGCCAGTTTCCCTGGGAGTCTCAGGGGCAAAGTGGAAGACTTGGGATGCTGCCACCCAGAGAGAGAAGCTGAACTAACCCACCCAAGCTCTGATCATGAGGATATTGAGGTCAAAGACAAGAAGGGAATCCCCTTATCTCCTCAAGACAGCAGTGCTACAACAACTCTGCCCAACAGCATCCCACTCCCAAAAATAGAGCGAGCCAACAGCTACTCTGCAGAGGAGTCCAACGTGTTGTACGTGCAGCACACACGGAAGAGCTACTCCATCAGTGACAAACTTGACAGGCAGCGAAACACAGCAGGCCTACGGAACCCCCTGGAGAGGAGCAAGTCCTCCAGGTCAGAGAGCAGAGGGGATAACCTGTCCATGAGGAGACTGTCAAGAACTGGAGCTTTCTGCAGCTTTGAAAGCAAGCACAGCTAGGCTTATACAAAGCTCACCAGCAGTCTAAGGGTCAACTGCTGCTCAGTCTGTTTTTCTTAGCAGAATTTTTAAAAAACCCTCACATCACCCCACGCTGAGTCCAATTGGCATTAGCCACAGGTCAAGGGAGCACATTTTCAATCTCAGCATCACCACTGACGTACTCCATCTTGACCCAGCTGACATTTGCACTTAAGAAAAAATGGAGGGATGAAAGCTTTACAAAACCTTCAGTAAACAAGAGGAATAACAAGCCCCCTTAATGAAGTCACATGACATAGATAAATAGCTCCAGATATCTGCCTCTTATTAGAGGGCATCTTAAGACCTTTTATCATTATTCAAGTTTTTAAGATGCAGGAATTAATTGGCAAAAAAAGAGATGTACAAATTTGATGTTCCAAACTTCAATCACAACTTATTTTTCATCTATGTCACCATTGTGATGACTGGTGAAAAGCATTTGTTATTTCTATAGGAAGTGGCAGCAAAAAACCTAAAGTCTCCCAAGTCCCTTGCATCCCACACTTGTGGAAATGAAGATGAACACAGCAACAACTATAAATGTTCACTTATCTCCTTTTGTATCAACTTCTAGTGCCACAAAAAGTTTATATTTTCAAGAGCAGAAAGGGAAATGAAATGCCTTTTTTACTGCAACGTAAATGGAAGAAGAATTTACGTTAAAATGTCAGGTGATTTCCTGTGTAAAACAGGCATTCTAGATTCTAGCACAGGTGAGCAAGCTCAGGATGAATGTAATTAAGTGGAATAGTATATATTTATTTTTTTACCACATTTGTCATCAGTATGTTGTCTCACTAAATCAAAGGATATGATGACAGTAAGAATAAGATGATCAGAGCAGAGCATATTAATATGTCCAGTGTCCAGTTCTCACGGCTCAGTTTAATTATATATATAAATTGGGGAGATTTATCCACCATGCTGCTACTGGGTTCTTCTTGCTGTTTCATTTGAGCTGCCGTTTCTTCACATCATTCCCCCACCTATAAAATATACACCTTTTTTTTCCTTTTTTTTTTATGTGAACATAGGTGTATTTAGACTTTTTTAATTATACAGGATTTATCAAGGAGTCTGAATCCAGATTCATGTAATTAGACTGAAGCTGCTTAAAGGAAAGTATTTTTGGCAGAGGACTGGAAAACACTAAAATTTCTATATGCTTCTAAGGTAAGTAAAAGAACCAAAGTGAAACTGCAAGTGTGTGTAAACAGCAAAAGCCATCAGTTGTGAGTAGGCATCCACCGTTCATCAGCATATCACACAGGGAGCACTTTTAGTAGGAGAAAATCTGTCTGAACGGTAGTGCACTTACGGGTTTTGGTTGAAGACAAGTGTAACTCCACTGACTCCACCCACATTCCAAGGGCCCACATTGTCAACAAGAGTTTCAAAGTTCTCATGAGACAGTGTCCAGTGGTCACAGGTGGAAGGGTATACAGAAGACTGGAGAAGGGTGGAGAAGCATAAGCTGCAACTGGAAAAACAATTCAATTCCTTTATGACAGCACAACTTTTAAGCTTTTAAAAAGTTGACACTAATGCTATCAGAAGTTAAAATATCTCAACAGTTACCAGTATCAGAACCAGCTCCTTTTTGTTATTAAAAATGAACACTTGTGAGTGGGGTATATATTTCACATTATTTAAATTGAATTACCTTTCAAAGGCAGCTTTGAGAATACAAGCTGATGTTTTCTCACTGGGTCCTCACCCTGAGAGACTCTGAGCAGCATCTGAGAGTTAAGTCCAAAAGGCAACTGATCCAGAAAAAAAAATCATCAGCCTCAAGAAAAGAGGCAAAGAAGGTGAAAATATTTAGTTAACAAGTCACTGTGTTGGAAGTTTGGGAAACAAGGAAATGCAGCAAGGGGATGTTAAGACAAATGTGTTTCACACTTCCTGCACCAACGTGTTCCTTCCTTTCTTCTGTTTGATCAGGCTTTCAGTGAGCTAAACTCCACCAAGACACCATGTTTATGCAATTGCCTTGCAGGCCATGTGCAGCACTACAATCACATGGCGATACCAAGAAAGGTCGGAAACCTTTCTGTGCATTATGAAGCATGCTTGTGGCAGGCTGATTGTTGAACAATAGCAAAATGCCCAAGGGCGAAGGACCTTGTGTTTAACAATATGCTTCAAATGTGCCAACCTTCTGTTAGCAGCCTTTTCCTAAGGCTTCTCCAAATCTATCTATGGAGAGTAGAGGGGGATATTCTTACTTCGTTTTGTTACTTTTATGAATGTCTGCTAAAACTGTTGTGGACTCTTTCATCTTCATTGTATTAGTGGTCTACTCAAGAGGAATTTCAGATTCATTAGAAATTACTAGACAGCGGTTAGTGAATTAGGCATAGGGCTCTCCTCTGGGGTAGATTCCATTGGTTAGTTTGTCAGGGTAAAGAAATTTGCCAAGCCTAGAAGCTGTATAAATATTTAGGATACAGCACCTTATTGATCTGGAGTACACATTCCAGGTAAAATGAAACAGAACACTTTATTTACCTCTTTAAAGTTGCCATTATATATAAAATGTAAATTCAGATGATAAAAGTGTGATTGCAAGAGATCAGAACACTACTGTTCCGGAATGTTTCCTATTTATGCTACAATGTGGTGTCTATAGAATATATTATGATGGATGTTAGATTATTTTATTTTCACCTGTTTTTTATGCATTGCATCAAACAGCTCCTTTTTGAATTTGATGATAAAACATTCTCGTTTCTTGCAATGGGACCAGACTTCCCATTCTCAATATTATGACCATTTAATGAGATAGAAGTTTCATCATCCATCATTATGTAGCTATAGCATGTGCCATATGATGTATTCTGTATCAAAGGATAGCTTATGAAATAGACACATTATGTAGTTGTGACATGTGGTAATATTAGTGAACGTTACAGGACAGTTTCAATATCTCATTACATGGTCTTGTTTGTAAATCTGTAACATTCAATAAAATAGCACATGTTGCATCAAACATTAAGTTCCACTATCCAATTATTAGCTTACGTATGGAATATGCATTTCTGGTCACAGTGTGTAAGTTTGGTATGTTTCGCACATTTCTTTGTATAGCTCCACTTTAATGTCTTTATGAGCTGATGTATAAACCTCTAATGAGCCACTATGGGCTGTGGCAGATGAGTTGTCATGGTGTGAAAGACAAACGGGCATGTTATGCAAAAGATTATAAGATATATGAACTTTAATAATATTTTAAAACTCAACTGAGCTTAGCTGTTTGTTTACATATGCTGGTTGACTGAGGAAGCAGTGTGCAGTATTTTATAAATATTTTCCTATAGTAATCCATTCTGTTGTTTCCAGTTTAAGTGATTCTATTCTACAGTTGGGGTATACACTTGTCCTAGGTATTGTATAATAGCACATTATTCTTTCACAATAACAGTGTGATATGACTGAAGTAGTTTCTCTTCCTTAAAGTCCAGTCTTTTTTTGTGTCAAAGAAAATGCATGCATTGTTCCATGAGTTTCTTTGGACTGCTAGGAGACATTTTGCTATTGCCTGCCTGTAAAGATGAATCCAGTTAGGAATGAATTCAAACTTTTGGATGTTTACATTATTTCCATTATTTTTGATCTTTAGCAAAGTAAGTGATTTTTTTATTATTTTTAAAAGACAGTTGTATTTTATGAAATTTGAATACTCAACACAAAATACGAACCTACAGCAGTGCTCAGACATTTGGCTCTCTTTTTTTTGGAAGAGATCAGGTGCTACACTATTTTCTTAGCACAAGTGCCAGTTAACAAATGGCAGTGAGGGGATAATTTGAAAATATAATGAAAAACCAAAACATCCATTCATCTACATACAGAAATCCCTCTGGGTTCCAGACATAGATTACCTTTTTTTGTTTGTTTTTTGGGGGCTTTTTTGTTTGTTTTTTTTTTTTTTTTAATTTTCCATTTATAGATTTTTTGGTAAAAAAAAAACAACAAAACTGATTTGTACCTTTTGCGGAAAGGATAGCCTTTTGTCAGGGGATAAATATCTTAGTTAGGTATATATTTTGTATGAGAAGAAAACAATCTGTTTCTTAGAAAACAGTCAGTGCATGGAAAATGCAACTACATGAATAACTGCTCAAAAAAAAAAAAGTGCTGGTAGCAGCACACAGCCTTAGTCCAATGACTGCAGTGGGCGTAAGCCAGTATCTGTCCTGAGAGCAGAAGTTATCAAAGGTATTAGAGTGAGCCAGTGAAACAAAATTCTCTGTAAAGTCATGGTGCAGATTTTCAAAACAAGCATAACTGTCTGATTATATTGCTCAGGTTAAACACTGAAGAGGATCTGATAATCACCCAAAAGGAAAGTGTGAGATGGTTTTTCCTGGATTTCCCTTGGAACACTTAAGTAGTTGTGATGTCTTCCCCTGCTTAAAAATGATAATATATTTGCATTTTTTGCACAAATTTGCATATTTGGTTCAACAAAAGCCACATTTTCATTTTTGTTGAGAGATACTAGGTATAGATCATCTTCAAAAAAAATTGGTTAAGATTCCTAGCATTAATTTTCCCTTCAACCACCTTAGATAAAATCACAGTCCAAACTGGGACGAGAAGTGAAATATTGGATGGAATTCATTGTCCTTGCCATGCATTGGCATAGGAGCAGTAGTATTGGATGCAGAGGGACTTTGTTTCTGCACCCTGATTTTTAGCCAGTCATACAGTTCATACAGAACACTGCAAGTCACATAGGCTTCTCTTCTCCATGATTGACTACAATTACGGTCTTACTGATGCTGGTGCAAATCTGCAGAAAATCCACTGATTTCAGTGGCATACTCTGGCTTCTGTCAGGAGATGGATTTATTCTGCATTTCTAACTCAATATTACTTTGAGTCATGGCATGCATTACACTATATCATCTTCAAGTTGGAGGTCTGATGATGGAGCCATTGAGCCAGCCTGGTTGTGAAACAGTCTCTGACCTTTTAATTTTTGCTATATGCTTTCAGGTAATTCATAGAGCCATACAATACTTATTTCAAAAGGCTGTTAGGTAAAAACATTTGATTATTAAATTGCTGCTGTTTCTGCTGCAGGGAAGTGATAGCTCTTGTTTATTTTAATATCTGGGAGGGAAAGGGAAGGGACAGAAGAGGGAATTGGATGTGAAATACAGTTGTGCAGGCCTGCACAAGAGTAAATTGTATTACAGTTATATCTTTTTTCCACCACTGCAGTTGTTGTACATGACAAGAGTCTATTTGCTGCTACTGCTGTCTGGAACAGTGTTTGCAATATTCTCTACTAATAGCTATTTAATGACTTATTATTTGGGCTATCATTTGTAAGTGCATAACAATCATTTATAAAGGGATAAAAATTACTAAAATGTTATTTTAAACAAATTCCTACTAATACAAAGCTTTTCAAGTCTGATTTGTCTAAATGTACATAACTAGGGAAAATGGTCCTTTCCAAAGGTCTACTGGATTCACAATGCACTTTTAGACTGTGTTTAGATGCGTAATAAAAAGCAGAAGTTGGCAATTACTACAGTAGAACTTTCTGAAATTTCTGTAACAATTGTTTTGCAATAAAAAAAAGATATGTAGATCAAAACATCTGTTCTTGCTGGAGCATTTATTTATGTTCATTCACTTTCAAGGCAGTAAAGTAGTGATGCAATGGTAGCTGCTTTTCTTTAACTCACTGTTATGACTTTACAGATTTAAAGGAAAATGAAACATTTACTATGTTGTGCACAGGCATTTTGAATGTTGCAATTCATTTCCACCTCTGAGATCAGATTTCATTCAGTGTCCCTTATTCTGGCCAATATCAGAACCAAGAAAGTACTTCTCAGTGGGTTTATTTAAAAGAAGGGGATAATTTCTTTGCTTTGTCGCTACCATTCCAGCAAAGGGGGAACAAAAGCACTGATTGCAGAGCCTCTCTACATTGCATCCACATAGCCTGGAAGAAGCGTGCTCCTTTGTATGGCAACTGGGTGGTATTGCCTACTCTTGTAGCCAGAGAAGCTCCATGAAAAACAACGGACACCAAGTAATCCACTAGTACCTATCGCCGACTCTGAACTGGCATCTCACCTTGCTTACAAAAGAAATCATTGTCTCCCTCATCATGCAGCTACAGCCAGCTCTGATACGTCCTCACAAAAATGCTGAAAAGACGCTACTGACACAAAGTCTGCCAAGGTCGGAATCTTCTGCCTCTACAAATAAGCATTCACTGAGATAATATCATGTTTTAGCCAAAGCAAAAAGAAGCACAGGAAGACAAACATCCAATTGAATCAGAAAGGTATCAGGTACTCAAAACAGTTCTGCATACATCAGTTGTACTTCAGGAGAGGAATGGTTCAGAGAGCTGCTCTTTATTTCAGGTATCTAAGAAGGAAATGCTAAACTTTTTAATCAGATATCATTTCATTCTTAGGGACTGCCATTCAGTGAAGACTGGGAGCTGAAGCTTTTGGAAAACTGAAGTTTTCCAAAACAAAAACTAAACCTGTGCCAAAGAGTTGTCATTATGCTACTCTCCAAGTAACACTATATCTCTAGTCTCCCTGGGATTTTTCACAGTAACAAATTTCACCCAAATTCAGCCAATTAGTAAGGAAAAAAAAAAAGGCAACATCAGTAGCCTTGATTTTCATTCCCATGAGCTCTTATCTTGTAGTCTTTAGGGCAGAGATCTAGTCTCTAGTCTCTTAATGTCATTAGTACGCAATGGAAAAGAACTCCATTTAACTTATACCATGATTCATTATCCTCATGACTGAGTGCAGCACAAGCTGAGACTTACATCAGATGTCACTGATTTTGTATATAGAGCTCAAATTTACTGTATTACACTTCTGAAACAACAAAAAAATGTAAGCTCACGTGATTCCATTTTGAAATTTTCAAATAACTGATTGCGGTCATAAATACAGTATATTTGGATTGTACTTTTGGGAAGCAATAATGACAAGCATTATCTCAGGAAAGGTTGTTTATGTGAAATAACAATAGCTGTCCATTAACAGTTACAGACATCACACCTCAGATGATACAGGCTGCTGTTGTAGAGAACTGTGGGTGAACCTGCCTTTGCCTTTGCTAGTCTGGATGCCAAACCAATGAGTTTGACAGCTGTGGCAAGACTGCTCTGCTTGTACCATCTTCTAAAACTTAAAACTTTTTAGCTACACCTTTCCCCAATCAAACATGTAGCCAAAAGTTCAACAGCCACATGCACATCACAGAATCAGTCTCTGGGGATGATTGTTACCCTCACAAAATGTTCCAGTGGGTTTTTTTGGTTCATAGTATGCAAGAGGAGAATTTTCTTAAGAAGCTTGGGAAAATAACATATCGAGGCTCTAAGGACATTAGCGAAAATGTTAACATGTAGTCTTTTTCTTTATTTGAAAGACAACAAAAAATCAATTATCAATGTAGCAATTTGCTACTCACTAATTAAAATCTTGAAACTAAAAACACATCTTTAGCAATTAATAAATCTTTTGAAAGTAACAGTAAAAACACTAAATCTGATTGAAGAATTACACTTTGCAAAAACTCCTCAGAAATATTAGTCACAAATCTGAATTACAACCCACAAGTGCCAAACCACAGTAACTGCACTGTAATTTGTGGAGGAGGGGAGCAGATGAGGGGTATGTGCACATGACAAACAGGGAAAAAAGGTAGTCTCAAAGGAACATAGGAACAATGAACTCTAAAATTCACATCAGTCTCACACTATACAGCCAAGTTCCACTTTTTTTTCCCCGAGTGGACATTTGGGGAGCAAACTTGTCAATTGTCAATAGTGTAAGTTTACTATTAATTCATTTCAACCGTGCTAGTTATTTTGCTAAGACTGTGGCATTCCCTCAGAGAATCATAACTTAGACAAACAACTTGCAGCACAAAGGCTTCATGTAGAATAAATAGTCCACATCTCAGAGGGTCTGATGAGTGGTTTTTGGTGAGTGCCTAAAAGAACATTCTGTGTCTTTGCTTCAGTCTTATCTGAGAGGTGGTGAATAGCTGCCCTGTTGCAAGAAAGGACCAAATTTTCAGAAAATGTAGCCTGGTCCTCAGCTCCTCATGGATTGTTTTCTCCCTGAAATATTTTGGCTTTCTAACCAGAGCAGATTGCCTGCATTCCCACTCCACTTCAGCTACATCAGAAAGGAACTGCAGCCACAGTGAGAATATACAGTAATGCAGGGACATTCCTCCCTGTGCAGTCACACCTAGGGACTACATTGCTTCTGCAGTAATTTAAATATTTATCTGAAATTTTGTGTACTTATTTTGATTCTTAATAAGTCTATAAAATAAACTAGGCCTACCTTAGGATTATGTTAGGTGAGTCATAGACCATCTCTTCTAAAATGTCTGACTATTTTCAGAAAATACAGCACCATGGGCATTTACAGCAAAAAAAGTTCCCTTAACAATAGCTGATCCTACTCACCTCACAGCAACTCCAAAGTCTCAGAGTGCAGTCCTAGGCACTGAATAAATTGTCTTATGCAACTGTATAATGCATGCTTCTGTTTCCCTGCACCACCATCAGGGATGGGTGCAAGCCATTCCCTTGGGATAAATGGATCCACTGGGTCTATTAACTTCAGCATTGTGTTGGCAGGAGAAAATGTCACAGCAGATCAAGAATTTTTTATCTTCGGAAGAAGGTGCACAAAATAAATATATATTAAAATATGTTAATCATGAAAGGATAATACTAACCCAAGTTGCTATTTTATGAAAGTTTAACACTGCAATTCAATTCAGGACTTTTCAAATTGTATACTACAATGAAATACAAAATAAAGCACAGTATAGATTATTTGTTAAAATTGCTCTGAAATGCATAAGGGGCCAAAAATTTCATCTGGCTTCTACTAAGAGAGAAGCATTTGATAACTGCTCTGTTCAGTTCTCATGTAATCAAAATATTTTAATATTTTAAGAGGATAAAATGCTAACATGATTTAATAGAAGTTATGATCTGAGGTAATTGGGAAAAAACACTCATTCTTTGCCCTGGAGGCTCAGTACAGGAAGTAGCAACATACTTGATCCAGGGAAGATTGGCCAAATGTGGTGCCATATGCGCTCTGGTTTGCACACCTCTGTGTCTGTGGGATGCCCCTCCCCTAAGGCTGTTTTCAGAGCTGATTGCTGTGCCCCCAAACCTTACTCTAAGGGCGTGAAAACCTGACAGGACAGTGCACACAAACCAGAACATCTCTGCCATACAGATTAGACCATAGGTTCCCAGTTCCGTTTTGGTAGCATAGCACATTAAGTACTGCCATCTCTGAATTTCAGTACCTGCCAGACTTGGCAGGGATGTGTCAGTGAGCAGTACCCAAATCTAAAGATATTTAAGAAGGAAGAGCTGGTCGAAAGCTGGTTGGAGGCATACTGGAAAACATGTGTTACATAAGGTAAAGAAACACGTGAATTCAAACTCTTTTCCACAGTTATTGACCTGCCTCAGAGGCAAAGGAAAAGCTCAGCCCCTCAGGGAGTAGTACAGGGGCCGCAGCCCGAGCCGCTCCCGCGCTGCCCCGCACACTCCGGCTCTCCCTTGCGGACCTTAGTCTACGGGTCTCTTATTAGGCACATTGGTCCCAATCCAGGACATGGATTTCTTGTTCCAGACAATGTTGAACTTAAGCTGTGGTCAAAAAGTCAGGGTTTAAGGCATAGCTGTCTTTCTGGTGTATAATATATACATAACTGTATTTGGTATGTGTTTATGGATTTATATATTTTGTGTTCTTCTTGTCAGTTTGTAAAAATAGGGTTGTGTCCTCACGGAACTGTTGTTTTGTTGTTATGTTTTGTTGTTATCCATCTTATTGCAACAGGGGCATTTTCTGATAGTTGTTTGTTTTTTCATCAAATAGATTGTTTTTACATCTGCAGTGAGAGTTGGCATGTTTCATTGCAACTCTGCTTTGCCTTCATGTCTTTCTCTGTTCGTATTTTTGCCTGGGCTGAGTTTTCCAACACTTAATAATGTCTCACCCTTACATTCCCATTTTCCACAAATCCTGCAGAGATCTTGTATTATTCAGATGGATGAGACTATTTGTCATAATAATTTTGCTTAGTTCTGATTACTGGCTATGACACGAACTAATTTAATCCCTAATTACTCCACTTGATAGCTCTTTAAATTCAGAGGGCTTTGTCTTATTCATTAGGGTTTTGTGGCACCTGAATCTCATAAGGGAAATATTTCTTCTCCAAGTAAATTCTTTCAAAAGGGCAGCAAGTATCAAATTTTGCATCCACGGAAATAGATGGTAAGTCTCAAACAGCTCAGGGCTTGCTGTATGCAGCAGTGTAGAGGATCTCACTAATAATTATTTTCCTTCAGTTTCACTTTATTTGGAATTATGGGAAAGGTTGCAACCATTTCTGACAATCTTTTCAAGTTTCCTCCCAGTTGGGATGTCGCAGGCAAATAAATATATTTTCTCCATTTTCAATTGTCTTTGCATTATTAATTTGGCACAAAACTAGAATGGTCCCACTGTCTGACATGGAATAAGACTGTTCAAGGCAGAGGGAGTTATCAGCTCAGTT